GAAAATACTTTTCAACTCCCGCAAAAATCATCAAACTAAACACATTTGGAGGGAAATACAAAGCGATCATCTGATTGGTTAAAAATACAATTAAAAATAATAATCCAAGGGAAGTAACTGGAATCAACCCAACTGTAATTAAAGCACGAAAAGATGACCCTGTTACAATTACTGCTTGTATAACCCTAGACGGTTTGCGAATCCATTTGTCCTGGGTTATCTTCTGTCCCAGATTTGTCTAACATAATAACGTAAGCAATACATATCAAGGTTAGTAGATCAGACCACAATTAATTGTAATATGCTTTACACATTATAAAACTTAACTGTTGGTAATATCAGGTTTATAAATGGTGTATTAAATTATATTCTAATTTTAATTTTAAAGTAGATATGATTTTTTCAATCTGGGTGTACATGTATAAAATCGTTAGTTCGGGGTGTATCAACTAAAGGGCTTATGGTGCTTTATACAGTTATTTGAAATAAATCATATCAACATAAGTGCATAATTATATAGTACTGTATATAGCTTTTTAAACCAATCTTTTAATAAATATTTTGGGAAGAAACTCTATAAACTATGCATTATACAACTGTTTATTATACATTTGGTTCTATTTGTTTTTACTTCAGAAATTGAAGTTGTGTCAATAATTTTCATTTATTTTAACTTCCTAATAATTCATTTATTATTAAATAAGTCAGTGTGATAATATTACAGTAGTAAATGGACCCCATTGGAAATAAGCTTTTAGCTTAATATATGGGCATTCCTAGGATAAGATAAAACATACTAATTAATTTTATAAATATTTTGTTGTATTTTTTGTGTTTTATATATGCATGTTGATATATGAGACAAGATTGTAAGTGTTTATGTTTTACTCAGAATAAATCGATACGATTTGATTTCTGTCAAATAAAATGGTTACGATCAATAAACGGCGCGAAATATGTCAAGTTGGATTACTTCCCTTGTATACTATAGCAACGTTGTCAACTTCCTGTTTGGGTGACAGCATAAAAAATAAATAAACATGGTTTAACATCAGTGTTTGTGAATCAATACAGAGAACCGTTTAAATCGTTTGACTATTATAGACTTTCAAAATGCCAATGTTAAAAGAACCAAAACTTAAACAACCTTTATGGAAAGAGAACGATTATAAAGCACAAAAGAAAGGAATTCGTCACACAGTTTATTCTGTAAACGGTGATCAGTACACAGGAGAATGGCTAAACAATCTTAAAGACGGTAAGTATATGCGTCTGCGTAATTAAAGATTTAATTATTCTTCTTTTACAGTACTATAAAGCTATTGGTCATATGATGCCCCTAGAAAATCATTTGACATGTAATCATAATAGAAAAATAAGATCTACTTTTCTCTTTTTTCCACTACCATTTTTATGACATGCTATTGAACTGCTCATAAATTGGGAGATGTGTATCTGGCAGAGGAGCTCATGTAGAGCTGGGGAAAGAGTTGCAAAGGTCACATGTTTTGAGTCGCTGTATGATGCTGCCCATTTTACTCACCCAGTGATTTGACATGGAACTAAAAGGCATAAACAAAAGTAGTGTCTAGTGTAGGACAGGCCAGGTTGAATCTAGGATGCATGACAACAATTATGTCAGATATCCATTACAATAAAACTTATCTTATCTTATAGTAAACAAAACGGAAAAGTCATTTTAACTTTGGTGTTTAATCTCATCAAGCTAGGTTAAGAAACTTAAGTTTCTTAGTTTCCATAAGCTACAAGAGCCTGATTATCTGTTAATTGTGCATGGAATCAAGGTATTACTTTTCATACATTGCTTATTTTCACTGAACATTTAAGGTAAAGGAACATACAAATGGAAGGAGACTGGCACAATTTATGATGGAGATTGGAAGAAAGGAAAAAGAAATGGTTTTGGTACTTATAGTAGACCTGATGCAAAAAAGAAAGGAGCATTTGTTAAAGAATATTCTGGTGGTTGGAAGAATGACATGAGACATGTAGGTTTTCATAATTTACTTTGTATAAATCTGTTTATTTATCATTTTGCTGTTTGTGTATATACAATGTCTGTTATGTATATAAAGTTGCAATGAAGTGTTATAAAATATTAGATGAAAATTTGCAGTTAACCAATGGTAAAGCCCTCCACTATCATACTGTATGCTTTCAATGAGTTTTCATTCATGGTTGTGAGGCAAAAGTGGTTTAATTGTATTGCATTCAGTGCAGTGTCCTCTGGGGATAAACAGAGAGCACTGTCATTTAAGTCTTCCTTGACCAATGACCAGTACATGCTTGAAAATAACTGTATGACGTTAAAAATATCAGTCCAAGGAAAAAAAAAATCTGAAAAATTGAATTCTTTTGTTTTAATGGCCTCTCTGAAAAATCTAATTCTTTTATTTTGTTCAGGGTTATGGGACCAATTTCTACACAGATGAGGAGTATTATGAAGGTGAATGGTACGGAGACAATAGAAGTGGCTGGGGAAGAATGTATTACAAAGACGGAACAATATACGAGGGCGAGTGGTACGATGACAAACGTAATGGACAAGGAATGTTGAGATTACGTAAGCTTTTATTTCAGTTTAGTTTATGCGAATTATTTTAGTTTGATTGTGTTTGTAGCTAAAAGCTTATTGAAACACTCTTGTATCTGTTCCTGGAACTAACTATTAAAGCGATGATTGTTAAAGTTTCTTGCTGAAGGAAACAAATTGGCTTGCCCCTCTCACATTAACCATTCAGCGACACAGCCAAAGGGTTATCTATAGACAGTTGTTCTAAGCATCCATAGACAAAATCTGTAATAAAAGTACATGTTCAACATCATTTTAAAATCAAGATTTAATTCAATTTTAAGATCTTAATATACATGTGTAGACTTCTGCTTTTCATTGTCTAAATACAATGTAATTTCAAATAATATTGCTGCAATATCTTTTGTTAAGATATTGATTAATGGGAACCATCTCATTTTACTCATCTGATATCTATCATGCATCTTAAATCAGCAATTAGCCAATCTCTATAAGGATTAGACTATAAGGCATTGAAGTTGTTAATTATTCATCAACAAGAATACTTTACCAGCTGATATCATCTCAACAGAGGTTGTATAAATGCTATCTGATTCTTTCCAATTATTCCCTAAGGGACTTTCTACAAAGCATTGTATTGCATGATATTCTTACAATTTCTTTCAAGAAAATGGAGTAAGCAAGTTCATGAAGCAGTAATCTTCCAGATTTATTCTAAATTTTCGAAAAATTTGGAAGATGTTTGATATATGTCCAGAATATTATCATGCACTTGGTAGAAATATGGTGATATAACATAAAATAAATTTGTTTTTTTCCAATTTATTTACTTATCTGAAAGCCTTCCGTTTTAACTCACTGATATTATGACTATAATGTTAGTCGACTTAGCAATATCATATTTATATTTTTTTCCCCTCAAAATAAGACAGCAAATATTGAAAAGAAATTTCTCTCCTTAATTACAGCAAATGAAAACAGATATGAGGGTTCTTGGCGTGATGATAAAAAGAATGGACCTGGAAAGTTTTATTACCTCACCCATGGACAATTGTATGAAGGGGTTTGGGTAGATGATATAGCCAAATGTGGTACCATGAAAGATTTTGACAGAAACAGTGCCCCAGAACCCACACAGTACCCTATACCAAAGGTATGACATTTATATTTTTACATCACAATGTCACAAGTTATATTGAATAAGTCATTAAATAAGTCAAAATATTAAGAATTCTACAAACCGGTTTTATTCAAATTTGTGAACAGTGTAAATTGAAAATCAATTATCTTATAATCTAATTAATGTTGGGTTTTTTTAGGAAATAGATATCAATTTGGAGTGCATTGTTGTAGAATAATGCATGGTTTTGGTTCAAATGTGCAGGAATCTAATTGAATTTGAACATGCTAATTAAAGAGAATTGAGAAAAGAATATGTTGAACTACATTGAGCGGAGAAGTAATTTTTAAAAAGGAATGATTACACATCATATGAAGTCAAATGTGATGTCAGTAAACCAAATGAAGTAATATAACAATTGTTAATTGGATAAAGGTACATGTTTCTATATTGTTTGTATTTACAGGTGGAATTAGCTAGTACCGAGGCAGTGTTACAGGAAAGTGAAGAACAGTTTTTACATGATCAAGAGTAGTTTAAATATCCGAAATAATATTAATTTGTTATTGCAATTATTTTCATTTATATCTCATTGACTGTTACTGGTTACTTTGTGTTAATTTTGAACTTAGTGAAATTAATTATTAAAAAAGTAATCAGGTTTTTATTATAATTTAATTATTATGTTACATTAATTTTTTGATAATGTTTTATATTGCTATTGAACTTTTGATTTAGGATATAAAATTTGACATCAGACAAATATTGATAGAGCTGCAAGACAAAAAAATAACATCTAACATGATTCAAAATTTTTTTAAAAATATTTTGTTATTTTATAAACTCACTTTCTCATAAAAAAAGGTCTTAACAAACAATTCTGAAATATTTACCATAAAAGCAGCATTTATAGCTTTACTATTTTATAATAAAGAATAATTAAAATGGGTTCTAACTGTATCAGTGAGAATGCTGTACATTTACATAATGCATTAATTTACTGCCAAAATACTTGATAAATTTGCTTTTTTCATATGATTTTGCTTTTTTTTTTTAAACAGTTTTCCGTTTCAATATACTGGTACATTATTTTAGGTTTGTTAAAAATTAGAGTCTTTAGAATAATGTGTACATTTGTGTATATATTTTTTCTCGAGTTACATGTAATAAATACAAGTACATTATAACAACCTGGGACACACTTTTAAGTGATTAAAATAGAGAAAAAAGAACAGAAGAGTGTTTCACCTAACTTTGGGATGTTGATAACATTGATTATCTATATCCCTGCCTAATTATAGTTAAATTGCCTAATAAAAGTGATCATGTTACAATTGTATTTTCAAGCATTGAATATAATTTTTAACTGCTGAGAGTGTTTAAAACATTTGACATGAAAAGTATGTTAGTGAAGTGAATGAATACTTACATAAAGGTATTATTGTGTCAAATAATTCTGTTTATTTTTTACTCATATAACTAATTCATATAAAATCCATGTATATTGATTTTATTGAAAATAACATTTTTTTAAGTAATACAATTACATAATTGTTGTTAAAAAAGAGATATACATGTAGTTTTAAATAGTTATCTACATAAATATCCAAGGGTAAATGAGCATTTTATAGAAATCATGGTACACAGTCTATGTATTTAATAGTACATGTACCTATATCAGACTGAAATCTTTAAAAAAAACAAATTGTAAGTTATTTGCAAAGGAAAAATCAGTATTGAATCTTTTTTTACAACTATTTACATTTCAGGCTCTTGATATAAATTATTTTGTTCCTTCTCAGATGTATATATGTTTATTGGAATGAAAGAAATATATATGATTATTGTTAAGTGATAAAATACTATCATTATATGTGTTGTTACCATTTATATGTGCAAAAAATAAAATAAATATTGCACTAAAATAAAAGGTAAACAGTTTTTTATGGTGTTTGTTATTTATCAGATCAAGATGAATGAATGATCGTAAGTTAAAAAATATTAGTTAATGACAAATGTTGATGAAATTTGTATTTCAATGGTGTATAAGAGGAAAGGTAACATTTATTTGGACCCACAGGCGTTCGGCACATCTGCCATGTCAATAACGGTCCAATTATCATAAAATAATCACCCCTTGATCATCAAGAACAAAATTACTATCCAGCACCCGTTTATTATATAAAGTACGGTATCTATTTTATATAGTAAACGGGTGCTGAATAGTAATTTTAACCATAATTGGAATGGCAAAATGTGCCGAACACCTGTGTTTCTACCCTCAAGCCTTAGAAATTGGCATGTGCCTCATATTGTCAATCCCTAGCAGACAAATTCTGATGTATTGACATTGACCAACAAACTGACAAATTTTCAGGTGGCATTTATATGTCAAACTGTGAAAATTATCAGTGTGGCATTGTCAAACTGTGACATATTATCATGTGACATTGATTGGCAAACTGTGACAAGTATGTCACACTGACAAATAATCGGGCAACATTGAATGTCAAAACTGTAACAAATAATCCTGTGACATTGACTGTAAGACAATCCCTTGTTATCAAGTGAAATTAACCATCAAACTGTGACAAACTATCATGTTGATCTGAACTTTGAAAGTTGTCAAAATCAATGTAATTTTGCTTTAAAATGGCATTTATTTTTTAGCTTGATTAACTAGGACTTGAAAGTTTTTTAACCAGTCCTGACTGCGAAGACATGTGTAAGTTTTCAAGTATGTACCTCAGTAGTAGGGGAGTCACATTGTAACCAGGTATGTGCTAAGTTTACAAGTCGGACAAAATCCATGTTAGAGCTTATGGTCTTGGACACTATACATGTAATTCCAAGCACATGTGCGGTATTTCAAGATAACGCCTTCACTGGTCAACAGGAAAACATCATCAGTTACCAACAGTATATATTCTGTACATACTACATTATATATATAATGTAGTATGTACAGAATAATTACCCTAGGTGGTAACTGACGATGACTAGATAGTCAATTACTCAATGTTAAAGAAGTGCTTTGCTAATGCTGGCTCCAGGATGAGTTTTAGAGATTCATTATTCTCATATCCATCCAGCTGAAAAAACAATAACAAAATACATAAATTCAATATTTTATTGCACCATGGGGACAGGGTTAAACTTCAAAATACAAAAGGTTTACAATGAAAGACAAGAGAACATGCAAAAATTAAAAAGAAATGAAATATAAATGCACTGTTGCTATGAAAAGTTCAATAAAATAAATCCTTAAAGCAGCAAGCCTCAAGATTCCCACTAATTTTCATGAAATTTTTAAAAAAGCATTAAAAAGTAAAATAGTTTGAAATGAACATAAAATAATTTACACATGGCAAACAGTACATGTATATACAACACATGTAAATTACGGAAAAGGGGTTAAAATATACCAGTACACAGAAAATTTCTGTTTATCATATTCAATTCTATCCTTTTTTGACATGACAGAAACTTACACAGACTTCTCCATTAACTTTATATATTGGCTGAATTTAGAAGAAAGTGTCTGGGAAGACACTAGTGAAAAGCGGGAAAAAAAAGTTACAGTGAAAATATAGAAAATGAAAAAATACACATTTTATATATTTCATTTATAAGTATATAATAAAAGATCTTACTTGCAGGCATTAAATAAAAATCATACAAAGCACCATTAACGTTTTGTTCCTGTTCTATTAAATATACATACATGTACTATTATATTTTGTTTCTTAAAAACCCACATAATTCGTCACCTTAGTGCAGTAACTGGTTAAGTCCCTATATAATTTAATAGGAACCAGTTATTGCACTATAGTGACAATATATTAATAAAAGAACAAGCTATGCATTTAATTTCATACATTGTATTTCTGAAAACTTGGATGATTATGACACATGTAGTTACCAAGGTATTCTCCTAACCCACATGGTTTTCCTACACATCAATACGAAAATAATTAATATCATTAAAAATTTCAAAATAACCACTTAAAATTGGAAAATGCCTTTTACAAATTCACATTTCTCTGAAATCAAATTTTTCCTCTAAATTGGCAAGTAGGTAACAATGTAACAATACAGAGTGACAAGAAACATCACTTACAATACTAAAATTGTTAAAACAATAATTATGAGTGAATTTTTGTTGTATGATTTTAATGAAAACATAAATATATGACCAAATACTGCCAGCTAAATATAGCTTTATAGTCTTTGTGAGTTGACATAATGCATTGATTAAGTTATTAACAATTCTAGTATCTGATACACATAATAATTACAAAATATCCATAACTATCTACTCAAATAACCTAATACATGACTGTACATTTTGAAATCTTGTGAGCTTTATTTCTTGAGTTACACTATAATGTCTCTAGTTACCAGAGACCAAAGTTATAAAGAATTTCTCTAGGCTCAAACTCGGATCTCTGGCATTTGATTGGCCAGAAACTGCCACAGTATGTACATTGACCAATGAGAATCCTAAGATTCGAGACAGAACTCAGAAAAAAGTTTTATAAACCTCAAGGCCAGGATTTACAGAATTACGAAACTCTGCCACAGACGCCCCTCCCTCTCTTCTTGAGTATTTTACGCACACAAGTTAATAATATCATTGTAATAAACAACTAAATAAACATCTTATTGTAAGTCATAAATCTCATAAGGCTACATGTTTAAATATATACATGTATAATACTGATACTTAAATGTGAACTTTTTGTGACTTAACACAGCTGCCTGCATTCTCAATAAAGCTAAATTACTATCACTATCCTTGGCTTTGAAAAAAAATATTTTTTGATTGAAGCATTATTATCAAAGTTAGGCAAACAGTTTTTGATACATAAAGCTTCCACATTTCTCCTCATAATAATCTTCACTTATAAGTATGTATGCTAGTCAAATCATAGTTTTGTAATTTCACAATTTTATTTGGCAACATGGGATAAAACTCATAAAAGTTATCATTTTGATTAATGACAATTGGGATTCAGAAAAAAAATACCCTATTTGTTTACAGCATAGTCCCAGTGGCTTAAATATGGAGAAATAGGTATTAAAACTGGTATAATGAGTGTATCTAAATAAATATACCAGTACTTAACTGTTGTTCAGTTATAGTAGCGGCTATTTTACGTATGTCATATAATATCAACAGTGGAAAACAAACGGCACCAGGAAAATTATGGTCACAGAAAAACATTTATAAAATAAATGATTTCTACAGATAACTTGGCATATAACAATACCTTTCAAAGTTTAACTTAAAGTGTATAAAGCTATATATCTGCTGTAAAATTTATATTTGAATTTTAAAAAAAGAATTCTTCCAAAATGTTTGTATGAAAGAACTATGGTAGTTTATTGTTGTAAAAGCGATTGACGAATGTATAAAATCAATGTTTAATAGTTTAAAAACTTACTTAAAATAGGAACATAATATTTTGTTCAAGAACATTTTATTCTGTTAGCATACAATATTCATATGTGTTATTCTTGACGTCATCTTATTTTCCTGTAAACAAGTATACCCGATGAAGACTTTGAGTCAAAACATTGTGATTTTTATTTAAAACAACACAATTTTAAATTTAAACTGGAGCTGATTTCCATATTCAGACTAACTCGTACATTGAACAACAGTGAAATTTTACATTTAAATTTTTTTTTGAGAATTGCCGATAGGATTATGGTGACAACATAATTTTACTGTTGATAAAAAATTAAAATATTTCATAAGACATTGCTGTGTACTCTTTAAGAAGCTTTAGAAGATTTATATAAAAAAAAACATTAATCACAAAAATAGATTATTAATGTAAAAAAATTACATCATATTTTCATGAATGAGAAAAAAACATAGCACATTTTGTAGCATGTTATAATTCTGACATAATCAAAATTTTATTAATTATAACAAGACTTAACACAAATGCAATTTTCAAATGCCATCAAATATTTGATTTAGATACATTACAATTACACCAATAGACCTGTCTATTAACAAAAGATGTACATGTATGTTGTAAAAGTGATGAGACATGGGGGAGGCAAATTACTTTTGTCTATAACTGATTACATTACAATTACTTCTTGAAATATTTATCACAATTACATTGGATAACTTCAACTTTCCCCTAGTAATTGATTGAATTACATGTACATTACTTTTACATGGGTAAACACAATTTCTTCTGATAACTATTTAATATATTTTGAAAAATGCAAAGAAAATTACTGCACAATATCTTTACTTGTGTCTTTCCTATAAATGAAATTGATTAAAAATTGCCTAACTTTTTCCAAATGATTTTCAAATATTTGTTTTGCCAATCAAAATAGATCAAAAATTCATTTTAAAGATTTAAAGGGTAAAAAATATACAAAGTGATTATTCTTCTTCCAAAAAAAATTAGAAAACATGAAAGACAATTATTTTTTTACAATAGTATAAATTATCTTGTTATTAAAATATGTTACATAATTAATTAACCCAAAAGGCTAGGTTAACAAGATTTGCTAATTTATTGGCAATATACATTAACATGTACATATGTATACTACCAGTAATCATTACAAGGTAAAATTGGCACATTTTTTATATAAAAATAAATGTTTATAGAATACAAGTCAAAATTAATATTGACACACCACATACATTATCATCATTATGACAATGAGTGTCCTGCTATTTCTTAGAACTTACTTTTTTTTTTTTTAAATCTATACATAATCAATAATCAGATTTTAAAAAGATAACATTCAAGTTGTCAGATGGCCCACAAAACTATTTTAATATTTTAAACAAGATGTGTTAATTCAACACAAAATTAATGCCCCTATCTCATATCTATTAATAACTAACAATAATATGGTAAAGTTTCCGAAAGATGAAAACCTGACATGATGGTCAAGGTCATGAAGAGGTCAAGGTCATATTTTGATTCTCCAAAGAAAAGTCTCTTCTAGATAAAAATTTGGGTAAAAAAAATAATGGTCATTTTATATTATAAATATTACAATATGCAAATTTTTGAGATTCAACAATATATATAAATGTACATGTATATACAACTAAGGAATAAAACCAGCAAATAACTGCATGATTGTGTTAAGATTATAACAATTGCAAACAAGAGCCATGTCAACATGGCCATTCCCCGCCTAATGTGTTTGCTCATTGGAAGAATGTATATGTAGTAGAGCAGAGTAATTCAATTTTAAGAGGTCTTTTGGTAATGAAAACTGATGGCTATGGTGATAACAGATTTGAAACCTATGTGAAAACTGATGGCCGAAAATAACAAAGGGCAATAACTGGAAAATAATGCAGGGTAGGTTATCATTCTTGTGTGCTGCACCCCTCCTCAGTAAAATCTATCCACCTATGAAGTTTCAAGTTGATACCTCAAATACTTTTTGAGAAAAAAAAATTGAATTGAAAAATTAAGTATGAAAAATAACAAAGGGCAATAACTCAAAAATTATAAATTCTTGTGCACTGCACACCTCCTGAGTTAGATCTATGCACCTATGAAGTTTCATAATGATATCTCGAAGGCCTTTTGAGTTATGCTCTGGACAAAAATTAATATTGAAAAATAACAAAGGGCAATAACTTAACAATTATGACATTTCATGTTGACATCTCAAACACTTTTAAGTTATGCTCCACTTGGGTGAAAAAAATGGTAAGAAAAATAACAAAGGGCAATAACTCAAAAATTATGAAAGGTAGAGTTATCATTCTTGTGCACTGCACACCTCCTGGGTGAGATCTATGCACCTATGAAGTTTCATGTTGATATCTCATAGGCTTTTGAGTTATGCTCTGGACAAAATCAATTTTGAAAAATAACAAAGGGTAATAACTCAAAAAATTATGCAGGGTAGAGTTATCATTCTTGTGCACTGCACTCCTCCTCAATGAGGTATATCCACCTTTGAAGTTTCAAGTTGATAACTCAAATACTTTGAGAGATATGCTCGGACGGACGGAGACTATTACTATATCCCCCGCCGCCTTTTCGGCGGGGGATAATAAAATGCATTACTTACTACCACAATGATTTGTCTTTGAGCATTGTGAATACTCTACTGAGCATTGTGTATGCTCTATTGAGCATTATAAATGCTCAAAGATGAGCTATAATAATGAGTATCATAAATAATATCCACATTGAGCTACACTGTAGCAACTTAAAGCACATCTATATTCAGATCATGAAATTGGTCATTAAAGGCACATTATGCCTCAGAATTGAATATTTTATCATTCTTTAGAAAAGTGTAAAATATGTTTTTTATTGATGTACTGGTACCATAATAATTGATTTAGAACAAGAGAATAAAATAGCGCTGAATGTAAAATTTGTCATAAAAGTAGCAAAATATAAACAAAGTGGTATTTTGACCTCCATACAAAATACTAAATCACTATAACTGTACTAAGTGCTACTATAAAAAAGATATAAATTATGGCTAAGCTATGTGGAAAATGATCTTTTTGGAAATTTTTGGAAACTGTAACAGGACCCAAATAATTTGAGAAATAAAAGTCATAGAATTCTTAGGCTTAATGGGCCTTTTATTTAAGTCAAGCACCAAACATTATAATAAATTAAGAAGTGTTTTTGTAAATTGTATTTGTAAAAGTATTGCCATGTGTGGAAATAAACTGATTTAAATTAGTTTAAGGCACTTAATTTTTTTTTAAATTTCATCTAAGATTGTCAAAATATTCAAAAATGGTGTCTCCTCTTTTAAATAAACTTTGGTAGATATATAGTATTAACAAGAGCTATCAGTAGGACAGTGTATTCAACTATTCCCAGTGCTTGATAGTAAAACAAGAAACTGGATAATGTTGAATTTTCCAAGTTCAACAAGGGGTATAATTCTGTCAAATCCATGTAACAGTTATGGGGCTTGGAAAGTGACCCTCTATTAAGCTCTCAAAACCGTGTGTGAAGTTTCAACAATTACATATTCCCTTAAGTAGTATTGGAGATAACAACTTGCACACAAAAGTTTAACCAAAGTGGGACGCTGACCCTGATGCAGGGCTGAGTACGATAGGCTTATAGCTCTTCCTCAAAACAGTAAAATACACAATATTTTGAGTATAAAATGTAAGCACCATTTAAATTGTAAATATTTATACATTTCTTAAACTCCTTATATACATATTACAAAGATTTGATTTTTTTAAAAATATGATAATATCAGGATGCCTGCATCTTAAAGATCATTGATGTACGTGTTTTAACCCTAACAACACTATATACCTTAAATGGACTTGTCCATCTTTCAATCTGGACTAAACCATTCATCATATTAAGGGGAAAATTTCAAAAATATTTACAGGCTTAATAGCAAACAGTACAGATCATGATCTAAACTGCACAGATGTGCATGCTAATTTCAATCTGCACTAGTCACATGTGTATTCAGTTTCCACCAGCGGGCTTAAGGTCAAACATCCAGGAAACTAATCCTCATAATCGGAATCGGTCATGCGTGTGATCATATGGTAATCAAAATGAACACGATTTTCAAACTGATTGACACGTTCTTCATCTGGCATGCACACACAGCAGTTTCTATTGGCCAATTTCCACACTGCTACCCAAATAATTGTCAAAAGATTCACATTAAACAGAATATGCCAAGAAAAATACATTGGCACAAAAGATAAATTCTCGATCTTTGTTTCAGATTCAGTCAAAATTGCACTCTGAGCTCCAATGGAACTTGTGTTTCCAGTTACATTAGGAACATCTAATGAATTCTTCAACTGTAAGCTTTCTTGAAACAGGACAATGCACATGTGAGCAAACCAGGTTCCCAGCACCAGAGTACAAAATGAACGCATCAACGGGAACCAGATATAATGCGGGTATTTAAACTCGAGTAGTAAAGCCACAGCAACGAATGTAGCTGCGTACATTGCACAAGTATCTGCGACCGACATCCACGAATAAACTGACACAGAATGACACGACAGCACTACTGACTGTACGTTGAAACAGATCACTAATATCAGGTAGTCCAGACCAGGAAAAATCACACGCTGGCAACAGTCTGATATAATATCACAAAACGTTGCTAAGGAAAACAAACTAAACACGGTGAGCTGTCCGATACCCTCATTCCTCTCTGAGGTGTTGCTAGCACTTCTGATTTGATATATACTGACCACACATATACAGATACTTGAGAGAATCTTACATATTCCTTCCACAGGTATATTCCTACATCTGCAAAGAGAGCATAAAACAATATCAATTAAAAAAATTTATTAAAAGATTCCAACATGATTTTAAACAGACTAATAAACGTGGGATTAGGGGCCATTTATGTCACATTGTTGTATAGAGTGTCATGGCCCATATCATTATTATACAATTATAATAGAATCAACCTACATATATAATACTATTGTTGATTCTTATAATGCCCTTAAACCTAAACTTATTACTAGGAGAGCCTGTGAAAAATGGACAGGCACAATAATTAATATGACAGTTGCTTTACACTGAAAATTATAATCTGTGACAAATATTATAGGTGAAAAAAAATTATCCAGTGCTTTCTACTGAACTTGTCGAAACAATTTACATAAGTTCAAGCATTTCTGTGACACAAAAATTTGGGAAAATTTACAAATGTACATTGTACATGTAAAATAAATTACATCAATCAAAATGTAGACAATTTTTGCAGTGCAAAATAAACTTGAACTTTGTCAATAATGTTGCCTATAAATATAATACATGTAGATTTTCTCAGTCTAAAGGTGTATAGTATATGGGCCAAATAATTCAAACTGACTTCAATATATATTAAAGGTACACTCACAGATGATACCAAAACAATGTCTGGAGGAAAAATTTATACGGCACTGTAGATTGCGAAGTATTTACAATGTAATAAAGTTTTTAATACATACAAATATTTGTAAAAATGGTATTGTATATTTTGATATATATTTACATAGAGATAAGACATGCCAAATGTAAGTGTTATACTATAGGCGCTTCAATGTAAACTGGTTCTTTGTCATTACAAATGGTCTTTATTTTTGGTATGTGATAAATAAAATATTAAATTCGCATAAGTTTCATACAGAGGCTCACATGATAAGATTTTATTCAACTTGTTCAATAAATTCAGTATGAACTTACACTTATTCAATATCAAATATATGAGCCGCCTCACGACAAAACCAACATAGTGAGTTTGCGACCAGCATGGATCAAGACCAGCCTGCCCATCCGCGCAGTCTAATCAGGATCCATGCTGTTTGTTTACCAACCATAATTCAAGTGGAGAATCTGACAGCGAACAGCATGGATCCTGATCAGAATGCGCAGGCTGGTCTGGATCCATGCTGGTCGCAAACGCACTCTGTTTGTTTTGTCATGACGCGGCTCACATATCATATTACCTTGAGCAACACTGGAATGAGACAGAGGATGAGAAGTCTGATTTCTTGTGTTTGCAATTCCAGTATTTCTTAGTAATCTGTATGTGCCACCACAGTCCAAGTATGATATAGTACCCCGCAGACACCCCAAGGCTGACATTACCAAATTGCATGGCTGTCTGTCTGTACCTGTAGGCTATAATCTGGCTATTTAAACATCATGTATAACAAATCTGAAAATATGAAATTACAGGGAAGAAATTAGCAAAATAAATGCCAATAAATTCAATCAATGTTGAAATTTATCTAAAGACATGCATGCAGCATATATTCTATTTCAATTTTAGTTTGATTTTTGTTGTTGTTGTTAGTTCTTCTTCTTTTCCTCTTGTTTTCCTTTTTTTTCCCAAATACTGAATTATGAAAGAATTAAAGCAGCATGCCTTCAGATTGGGTGGAAAAACATTAAAATTCAATCCATGTGATGTTGCATTTAATTTGACTGACTTCATTTTTCAACATTCATGTTTAACCTATAGTTTCTACCAGTCCACAGTAAAAACTAAAATTCTTTCTCAGCACATGTTCCTATCTTCAATTATCCCAAATTTATGCTTAAGCCAGCTTTAATCATTTTATGTTTAAAACTTTCTAATATTTTTTTATTGAACATTGTATGCCTCCTAAAAGTTGGTCAATAATCATCAAGGACTTAGTTACTTAGATGCAAAAAAAAAATCATTTTAAGCATCCCATGTTGCACATGATGAAGGGCCGAAATAAAGTCTATAGAGTTTTTTTTTTTTGTTACGTCACACCAACACAGTTTTGGTCATATGGTGGCGTTCTGGCTTTACTGGTGGAGGAAGACCTTCTGTAAATTATTTCAGGCACAAACGGCACCTGAGTAGAACCACCGACATTCTGTTAGCTAGCTGGGTAGCTTCCTCACAAGTCCCTGTTGGGATTCGAACCCACAGTGATGAGGGGCAAGTGGTTTGAAGTCAACACTTCACCAACCTGTATTGTTTTAGCATAAGCGGTATCGATTTTACTCGAAGATAAGGGAAGCAACTCGTTTTTTCACTCGATATAGCTCGGTTATTTACGTAAATCATTTTGAAAGTGTTTATGGGTGTGAAAAAATGAAATTTGGCTTCATAAATGATGTGATGAAAATAAACAACAAAAAACAATGAGTGTTATATTTCTGTTAAAAAGGCAAACATTTACATAAAGAAATGTTCTTTAAAGTTCAATCACGACAGTTAATGTTTAAGCTTCCTTATAACATATAAAAGTAGGATAAGTTTGTCTTTAAAAAAATGAACGTAAATTATACATCGCGAAAATACATATTATTTTCCTTTAAACAAATATCAAAGTTTATTGTTCATAATGATAAATTTTATATTGAAAAATGAAAAATATTGGCAAAAACTACCATTTAGATCTCAAACAGTGTTGACTTTCATAGACATTTATTCGTATCTTGCAAAAATTTCTTTTGTTTTGCATTTTTTCGACTGCACTTCCGGTGGTATTTAAATGGTTGGGAATCACTAAATTTTTAGGTTACATAGTACTAAATATATCTAGTGCACAGGTTCAATGCATTCTAGACCGATAACACATGTGCGGCTTCTAAGGTTTAATGCATAAAAAGGGAGTCAAACGTTGAGTTGTATTTTTTTACAGCTTATTTCCCTTTATGCATTAACTGACGAAGCTAATAAAGCGAAACATGTATTGATATAGATCTAAAATTGTGTTGGTTTTAATATATCTGTCCTACCTTACAGCTTATATGAAATAGAGTGAAATAGAATCCCTAAAAGGGTCATTAACATACATGTGAACTTTTTCCGATGCTCAAATGGGAGATATTTTTCAAAAAAGAGGGAGATTTTAGAATTTGCAATAAACAAAGAAGGATGTTCTGACATCAAAAAGGGGAGATTTCTTTAATTTCTGAAAGTACCCATTATTTTAAGAAAAATGTTTGAAAATATGGATTCAGAAACTGGCTGGAGTCTCCCGCTAAAAGTGGGAGAATTCACATGTATGCATTAAGGCAAAATTGAAAATGTTGTACTGAACCTGTTCATGGAGAGCACTAAGTCTTGTTTGAACAGCTATATAACACATCATGACATGACACGAAAAAATCATACATATGTCGTGTTTCATAATAATTATATATTACCAATTTATAATTTAGAAGATTCTTGATAAATTTGGGTCACACTATAGTGCCTGAATATACAAAACTTAAATTTAAAACTCTTATATTAAAAATAGGGTTATTAAGTTATAAGAGTGCTATAAATTTAAGAGCACATTTATAAGAAATAATGCCGTAGAAAGGGAGCGAAAGGACTACGAAAAATATACGAGTATTTTGTTTTGACTGTCTGCAGTCGTTCTCAGATGAATCAGCAGCGGTTTCCAAAACGTTTCGTCCGAACGAAAATCAACTGTTAAGTAATCATCAGGATTTAAAATTGTCGTCAAGCTATAATAATAATAATAATAATAATAATATCTTTATTTAAAGAAGGTTACACATTAAGAACATACAATAACAATCATATATATCTTATTTCCAATGTGGCCTTCTGAAAAAGAAAACAACAACAACAACAACAACAGGACATGCATAGGTAGAAAAATGAATGTATAATATGTAATTTTTAGAATAATACAACTCATATACTTTCGACAGACACTCAACGATCTATTATTTGCCAAATCGATTTGTCTATCAGAATTAGTCTAATTCATTTGGCCTAAACTGTTTTATCATTTTTACTACTTTCAACTTGTTGAAAAACACATCGCGCGTCCGCAAATTATCTTGATGTTTCTTAAATTTGACAACACTTTTTTTGTTAGACTTGGTCACAATGAGCTTTGAAAAGGAGTGTTTTATATACATGTATATAGTTTGCCAAGAATGAGTGTATAGAAATATCCGACAGTTCAACATGTAATTGTAAGTGTTACAGACCACATGGAGACATTTTAACAAGATTGAGCGCAGATTCAGTTCATGCTGATAGAGGATACATCATGACACGTGCACGTTTTGGTATGAACTCAACATATTTTCCCTTGACCAATTAAAGACAACGATAAATGGATTGTTTCGACCACAGCCTGTAGTTAATTAAAGCCGTGTTTCGATTGAGAATGCTACTAAACTGCAATTTGCGCTTCTATAAACATATATTGATGGCACAAAAACACAATCCTTTTTACACTCTCGTGACAATTTTTAGGAAGCGTTGTAATGTTGTCGAATTGTAACATTTCCTTTGTAACCGAAATTTACCTACGTAACACTTGTAATCATGTATTACATTCTAAAATATTAAAGGAATTGTGTTTTTCTATAGAGCATATTGTGATCTTTCATGTCCTATCAAACACCATACAAGCTGGCTACCTTAATAATGAAATTTAGAAACAGTCTCAAAAACCAAATTGTATAAATGTTCGAGGCTGTAATTGTTACGTTAAAATTTCTTGTCTTCCGGCCAAAGTTGTCATGTGTTTATTGCGAATTCGTCCTATCAAATATCCAATAGCTTAAATTTTAATTTCCCTTAAATGTTAATATTCAAACCACCATTACGGGCCTTTGTAGCTGACTATTTATCTTGACATCAAAAATAAATAAATTTAGTCTTTCGGTACTAAATGTTCTGTAGATTTAAATGAAGAAATGTAGGGACGAATATTTCTATATACGCTATAAATACCGTAAGTTTTGGACATAATTTAGAAATAATAATACATATTATAATGTACAATGATGCAGTCAGTGCAAGGCCTCTCACGCACTAAGGTGTTTACATCTCAATTTATGGCACGTGGAGGTGTGTAGCCAATGACCATTTTGATTAGTCAATCTAAATATAGCTAACCAATGGGAAACGCTAGTACACAAACAGATTTGTGTTGTTCAAGAAGCCAAAATGGTGAGTGGAATATTTTCTCAGTCGTTTCCATGTATTTTCGTATTGTAATCATTTGAGGAAATTGTAATTATCACGTTTTTTGTTTCTTTTTCAGACTACCTACACGAACAAAGGCCCAAAAGTAAGTGACACTCTCATGTTTTTGTTCTGGTTTATGTTTTTAGTTGATAATGGTTGACCTTGAACTGTTGTAAACCTCGTAATGTGGTTTTGTGATCGATCATTTTTGATGTCAAGATAAATAGATAGACTGTTAAGACAGTTTAAATAGATAGACTGTTAAAACAGTTTTTTGATAGCAATTTAATTGCATTTGATATTGTATGGATTTACGTTATTGTAATTAGAAGTTTTGCCAGTTTTGATAATCTTTTCAAATAGAGTGATGCAACATGAAGCATATAATTTGCATGCATGCATAGATTTGTAGTACAGATCGAGCACCTGTCATATTCCACCTCAATACAAACTTGTGAGCAATACCTGGCGTGTTACAATGTTATGATTTTATAAGTTGATATAATTGCACAAAATGTAATGTGTGGGCTTCTTTCTTCCATTAACTGGTCTTTTTTAGGAGGCTTGATGTGCCTTTATAATAGTACTAAATTACATTCATACATAAACGTTAATGTCTGTACATATTTCATATTATGTGTAATTTCATGAGGGCGGGGGGGGGGGGGGGGGTAGGGGGGGGGTGCGAAACATTCATAGGATTTTAATTAATTAGGTTTATTGCTTTTGTAATGTGGTTATTGTAAATAATGTCTTGTTAAAATATGTTGTACGATTATAATACAATACATTGTTCAGGGCGGCATCCAGAATTTTTGTGTGTGGGGTGGGGGGGCTTATGTGTGAAAAACCAAACACCCCAGGAGTTCCCTTTAATGTTTACATTTTGCACCTGTTATAACATTTTATTAATTAAACAACAAGCTACTAAATGAAAATGTACAAAACTCATAATCCCATGTCAGTCTTTACACCAAAATAAAAATATATTCTCAAAATTGGCATGTCTAAACTGTCTGATGGCCTTATGAAATACAAACTCACCATCCAACATCCCTGTAGGCCAGTGCTGCTTCCAACACAATCAAACTAAACTAAATTTGTATTAACTAACACATTCCAGGATAAATTAATAGCTGGCTTTGACGGCATCTAAAATATCATGAGATATTATTTGTAGTGCAGTGTTTAAATATCAAATATTTGTTTGCATATTTAATGAATGTCAGATTTTATTTTTGCTTTCAAATGAATTTGAGCCACTTCACGACAAAACCAACATAATGCGTTTGCGACCAGCATGGATCCAGACCAGCCTGCGCATCCGCGCAGTAGGATCAGGATCCATGCTGTTCGCAATCAGTTTCTCTACTTGTAATAGGGTTTGTAAGCGAACAGCATGGATCCTGATCAGACTGCGCGGATGGTCTGGATCCATGCTGGTCGCAAACGCATTGCTTTGGTTTTGTCGTGACGCGGCTCAAATGAAATAGTTAAAGTTGCAGCTGTTGTATGATTGAGTACACAATTTGAATCAATGAAAATTTTTTGCAATATATGTATATATTAATGTGAATAAAGCTGAAGTGTGGCTTGCAGTACAAATATAACTTCAATAATGATTTCCACATTATTGCTGCTAGACTCTCTGACTTTTATGGTGCTTTTATGGTGTTCTCATATTGATTTTAAAGGCACATATTGTCTCAATTATGTTTGCAATTAACAGCATCAGGGTCTGAAATTTCGCTACCATTATTTGTTTCGTCTGACAACCCAAACAAATAAAAACTTGTGTGAAATAAAAATTATAGCATTTTTTTGCCATAATGGGACTTTTAATTTTAAATGAAATATGGCCTTTATATGCTGACCTTGAGCTGCCATTTATTTGACAGGATTATACTTCATAGGTCCTCCTGACCTTCTGGTTAAAATTTGTCTAACTTGTGCTTCAGATTCTTTTATATAAGTTGAAGCTATCCAGGTTGTGTATGGAAGTTTGATTTTTTTTTTCACTCAAAGTTTCGGCTAAAGACTGAAAAAGAAGAGCACCTGAATTATTTGTCCACCAGGAAAGCTGGACAGTTGCCAGATGACCTTTGCATTGCTTGTGTGTCTTTAAATACAAACAAAATACTACAATGTCTGTTTAAATAATAAGGTTAACTTGTAAGACTTGAACTAAATCAGTTGTCAACTTTAACACTGTGATTGCTGGGCCCTTAATGTTGTGGGAGACAATGTCTGTTTCTTTATCAATGTTATAGTTTTACAACAATCTTCTTCACGGTACTATAATATCAATATATAAGATCTAGATTGATCTTTGATAACTATTACACTTATTTATAGATCTTTTTAACGTCCTGAATTGATTCCATGTTTAAATAATAAGTTTTTGTAAGCCTACGGTTTCTTTCCTATTTAACAGAGTAATAATGGCCCAGTTAAATGACGCATAGTTGCAGTTTTTTTATGTAAAGATGAGTAACGACACACATACATTACTTATATAGTATTAAAAAGCTTTTTGCATGTCTAGGTAAACATTGTTTTTTCATTGACCTGAGAATATACACCCAAGAGTAATGTTTTGTATATCAGGCAAAATGAAGAAAATTCTTTGGCCATTTTTTATGCACTTGTTCAAAATTTACTAATTAAACAATTACAATAAATGTATAATTATTTTAAGTGAAATATATGTTTCTAACTTGCTTTATAAACTAATTTACTGCAGTAACTTATATGAAATAAAGAGAGAGGGACTTACAACATAAATACACAAATATTTTTAATTGTCAAGGCTTCCCACCCCCATTTTATAGTAGCTTAAGGTGGATTCTTACAGGTGTCTTCTCCTAACTAAGAAAATTATTTTAAGTTGTAAAATTAAATTAACATGAAGTTTGTTTTTTCTTCCCCTCTTCCAAAAATAGTGTAATTTTTGCCCAAATTTAAAGGAAGGGCCACTTAAATTCACTGTGAAAAAAGTCAATAATTGAAAAGGGTTATAAACTGTATCTTCATTCTTAACTTAAGCTTTCTAGAACTAAGTGTTTATGGTGACTGATAATGGATGGATGGTTTATTTATCATTCCGATTCATCCACTTCTGAATACTTAACTAGGTGTTGGTGTAGATTTGGCATCACTGTAAAATTCAAGCTTCTTATTATGAACATTGGTTCATCGCCAGAGCTTAAAAAAACCCAAAAAAAACTGATATTGTGTATTCATTTTAAATTGGATCATTACCATTTTTACTGAAATTAAACAAGTTTATTAGGAAATGTTGAAAATTATACTTCCCTCACAAACTAAGGGTATAAAGCTATATATCTGCAGCCTATAGTTTACAAAATTATTGTTTGCATTTTGGAAAAGAATAATGTTTGTATAGTTCCTTTATAATATTAAGAGCAAATGGTGCATGCATAAAACCATTGAAAAATGGTAAGAACCTTATTTAAATATTTGCAATCTTTCAGAACATTTTATCTTGTTTAATAAGTACAATATCTATGTGTGTTAAATAACAGAGGCATTTTACTTGACAACTCTTCAGGATCAACCATACCATTATTGTTATAACATAATTTTACTGTTTATAAATTTTACAAAATTATTTCATTAGATATAGCATTATACCCTTTACTACCAACCAGTATATTAATTAATGTCCTGGCCTATTTTACAAGTAGCCAGAGCAAAAAAATAACAACCACAAAAAAAAAAACAAAAAAAAAAAAAAAAAAAAAAAAAAACAACAACATAAGGAAGACAAAATTTTAGATTTCTTTTATTAATTTCTGTGGTATTTTCCCAAAAATTTTGAAAATTGTAAACAAATTTAGTTTATATCAATTACAATGTTGGATGAGACAATTCAATCTTCATAAATTATACTTGTAAAAAATATGTAACACAAAAAATAGCTTATTCTCCCATAAAACATGCTAACTGTTACATGTGTTTGTAAATGTAATTATTTATACATTTCTTAAACTACATGTAAAAACTACTGGTGACACTGCTTTTAATGAATCTTCAAAGAAGTGATCAGTACCATACCTAGTTGTGCATATTGGCTGCACAAAATTAAGTTTGCTTTGTGAAAATGTGCTTTCTCATCTGTAAGTGTGTAGCTTGGATAGAATTATGTTCTGCATTAGGAAGTAATGGCAATTAACATAAGTATGATAAAGTGTTAAAATTGTTTATTCTCTGTTACAGCCGGAGGCAGGAAAATTTGTGTCATTTCACAGAGTCAAATTCTGGGTTGGAAATGCTAAACAGGTACTGTATCTTTCATCTACACAAACATTACAAACCACTTGAAGGTCACTGCTGTGTGTTCGAATCCCACCAAGGACTTTGGATTCGTTCATGTAAGGAAGCTCAAACTAACTAGCTTTCAGAATATCAGTGGTTCTACTTGGATGCCCGTTGCTGCCTGAAAAATGCACAGAAGGGCACCTGAGGTATTCCTCTTCTGCTCAACAGAAATAATACTATTTTTAGCCAGCTTTGAATTTTGATAAGTCAATTGAAATTAGTCATATGAAGTTGTTCTTTCTGTTTGACATGACATCAATTAAAGTCAAATTGTTTGACTGTACAGGGAGTTTCCGTGACACTGACTGATGCTAGTGCTGACACCCTGACATTGACCCCTTACCCTTTGCACTGACATTTACCCCTGACCCATTGCACTGACATTGACCTCTAACACTTGGCCCTGACATTGACACTTTATCCTTTGTACTGATATTGACCCCTAACCCTTAGCCTTGACATTGACCCCTAACCTTTGGCACTGACATTGACCCTTAATTCTTTGCACTGACATTGACCCTTAACCCTTGGAACTGACATTGACCCCTAACCCTTGGCCCTGAAATTGACCCTTGATAATTTGCACTAACATTAACCCCTAACCCTTGGCCCTTACATTGATCCTTAATATTTTGCCCTGACAATGACCCTAAATCCTTGGCACTGACCATGACCCCTATTCCTTGGCCCTGACATTTACATCTAACCCTTGGCACTGACATTGACCTCTTACCCTTGGCACTGACATTGACTTCTTACCCTTGGCACTGACATTGACCTCTTACCCTTGGCACTGACATTGACCTCTAACCCTTGGCACTGACATTGACCTCTTGGAACTGAAATTGACCTCTTGGCACTGACATTGATCTCTAATGTTGACACTGACTCTTTGAACCCTGACCCCAACAACAATGACACTTAACCCTTACGCTTACTTTCTGATCCAGACCAGAATTATGTTTTAAGTACTAGAATTTAATTTCATAAGCTCACATGTCTTTTATAAAATCACATCTCTCAATCAAGTTGATATTTTATGATATGTTTAATGCTCATCTATATCTAGGCTGCCTCCTACTACATTACACGTTTGGGTTTTGAACCCTTCGCATACCGAGGTCTTGAGACTGGAAGTAGAGAAGTGGCAGCCCATGTAGTCAGACAAAATAAGGTAACTTTTCTATTACTTCCTGTTTTAAGCCAAAATAGAGAAATTAAATTGTTTAAATTTGTTTAGAAAATTGTTTAAATTTGTTTAGAAGAAATAATGATGTCAAAAGCTATTTTACCATTAGTTATTCACCATTATTTTTAGTTATTAATAAGTCATGTAATAAATAGAGGATATTGAATGAGTGTAAGTTCAATACTGAATTTATTGCACGAGTTGAATAAAATTATATTATGCGAGCCTCTGGCGAGCATAATATTATTTTATTCAACGAGTGCAATAAATTCAGTAATGAACTTACACAAATTTAATATTCTATTTATCACATACCCAAAATAAAGACCGTTTAAAGAGAAATAAGAGTCATTTTTCATTGACGCGCTTGTAGTATTATAAACGCTAACATTTACGTCTTTACACTATGTTTGTATAACGCTAATGACGTCACGTCAAAATATATGCACGGTCGTGCAATACCATATTTACGGAGTCGCAAAATCGGCACGGGTGTGTGATAAATGGACATTATTTATACAACTAATTGTTTGTTGTTGTTTCACCTGAGATTCTCTATAGAAAGTCAAGATGTTATAATATGTATGACCCTGGAAAATGTCTTAATAGTATTTATAGTGTTTTAAAATTTAATTTATTTTCTTGTTTCAGATATTATTTGAGTTTGAAAACATGCTGAACCCTTATGAGCCAAAAGGTGATTATGATGTTTAGTTATTAAAGGCATGTTAATCTTAAAAAGGGCAAGCATGAGCTCTGTACTCTTTCATATACTCATACTTTAGGCATACCGGTATTTAAGGATTATCACCTGAAGAGAGAAATGAGTTAATGTGAAATACTTTGTGTTAAAGGCCCATCATGCCATAGAAATGCTATTAATTTTATTTTCTCAAAAACTTCTAATTTTTGTTACCTTGTTACAGTTTTCAAAGTAATACTCATTTCTGATTTGCCATATACATGGACACAACTATAGTTCTGTTGGCAATTGGAATAATTATATTGAATTAGTATTTTGTATGGAATTCAAAATACTACTAAGCTTACATTTTGCTACCTTTAAGACACATTACTGCACATTTAGTGCTACTTTCTTCAGTTATTAAACAACCTAACATACTCTAAATCCATTACTCAAACAGACTATTAAACATATGTTTGACATTTCTAAAGAATTAAGAAATATTAATTTCTGAAGCATAATGTGCCGTTAAAAATGTAACAAAATGTAAACATGGTTTGCCATACATACTAAGTACTTTATCTTTATTAGATTAAATTTGTGAAAATGCAAAAAAAAAGCAAAAGGTGAATCAGCTATATGCTAAATGGGGAAACTGGAACAAGTTACACCAAAAATAAAAGTAAAAAAAAATAATCAAATTAAAATCATTTTTTGTTGTTGCTTAATATGCCTGAATGAGAATTAAATTTAAAGTAAAGGATATTTCAGTTAAAGATATATTTATTAATGAGATGAAGATAATGGTATTCATAAAGTACTATGATATTTTGATACTCCTTCATATCAGAGTGTGAAATCATAATAATATTCGTATATAGTGAATAAGCCACTTTTAGAACTTAAGCAGTCCAACTTCACTAAATGTTTATGTACTCATGCTTTAAAAGTGAATGACATATGCACAAAATCATTGCTAAATGGATAAAACCCTGCTATAAGTAGCAGTATAATATTTTTTTCTGGAACATTTTATTATGTTTAAGTACAATTGTGTTATTTTATGATTAGTTTCATAGTTTTTCTTGTCCTGTGTTTTTAACCCTGAACATTATTATTTTAAATGAAATTGTCCCACTTTCATTTATCAATTTTAAGGATATCAATTTGAATATTAAAAGTTTGTCAGCCAACAGTATAAAGCCTGGTCAGACTGCATGGATGTGCAGGCTGGCCTGGCTCTCTACTGGTGGCAAAGGCTTAACACTTTCGGTTCCAGCACTTTAAGGGTTATAATATTCTCTAATTGTTTATAGAGATAGGAGAACATTTAATCAAGCATGGAGATGGGGTGAAAGATGTTGCATTTCAAGTGGAGGATGTGGACGCTATATACAAGGTAAATGATAACACATCAGTCAAAATACTTAAAGCCCTACACACTGTTAATATATCTATATAATTATAAGAATCTTACATTGGCTGTCTGTACAGATGGGAATATCCAGCTCTAGGGTACCTGTTTAACAGTTACCACTCACCACAGATACCGAAACTCAATTTTACAAGTTAACTCATATTTGTTGTTACATGTTTTTATTTTGGTGAACAGCCAACCAACTTTATACTTAGTCTACTGGTACCTGGTACTGAATCTGGTTTGATTGTGAGAAAGTGTAGATTTGGTTCCTGGCTTTGAAGATACAAATCAACTAATGTTCCTTGACACCTTACTTTATATTATATATATTTTCTTTAAACATACTTTTGTGATAAGCTTATAATATTTTTAAAATATATGGTTCATATGGTAGTAAATGTCTGTATAAAAAATGTTTTCTTTTATTTTAAGCGCACACGGTACAATCGTGTATAGGTCATATGGAGACCTTCCAGCTTTACGTGTGAAGGAAGACCTCCGTTGCTTCTTGTAAATTATTTCAGGCACAAGTGGGCTCCTGATTAGAACCACCAACATTCTGTAAACTAGCTGGATACATTCCTGCTGAGATTTGAGTGATGAGGGGCAGTAAAATTGAAGTCATAGATGAACAGTCTGGTCTAGTACAATACTGGGAATTATTGTTGCTAAAATACTAATATTCTAAGAATTAATGTCAAATTTTGTTACATGTTTTCTTGATACTATTTCAGAGAGCTGTGGAGAAGGGAGCAATAGTCGTAAAACCGCCATCTGAGATGTCGGATGAGAACGGAACTGTACGATATTGTGTGATACAGACGTACGGAGATACGACCCACACCTTGTTTGACCTATCTGGCTTCAAGGGAATTTATTTACCAGGTTACAGAGCTACAGATTCCACTGGTGATCCCCTAACTAAGTTGCTGTAAGATAATTTTGGTGTTGAAATTTATATAAGTTACGATCTTTTTCATAAATTGCAAATAGTGATTTAACACTAAAGTTTATTTACTGAGACAGATCCATATTATGTATGAAAATATTATTTTATGGAGAACATTAAAGGGCGTATGGCGACCTTCCATCTTAAATGGTAGAAGAAGACCTTGCATGCCCATTTTTGCATTATTTCTGTCACAAGTGCGTAGAAACCTTAGGTCTCAATATTTTGACTCCAAGACCGAACAATTTTACAAACCGATATTACACAGAAATTTTTTTCATTATAGTAAAAAATGGTGTAAAATGTTATGTTTTTTTTACAGACCAAAGATTGGATTGAATTTTACAGATCATATTGTTGGTAATCAGCCAGACATGGAAATGGCTAATGTAGCTGAATGGTAAGTTATACTAGAGAAATATTTCATTAATGTTGCCATGAAATGTGCACTGTGCATACAAATTATTAATAAGAAAAAATCTAAGAAATTACAATATTTTATTGGAAAACTTAAACAAAATTTCTCTTTTGCTATAAACTTAGGTTTGTTAACCAGGTTTTCAACGAAAACCGGGTTATTGTAATGCCGAAGTCGGCGGGCGGGCGGGCAGGCGGGCGGGCGGGCGTCAACTTTTGGTTTCCGCTCAATAACTTTAGTTTGCTTTGGCCTATTGACACCAAACTTGATGTATGGATAGCTTATATCAAGAGGCAGCTTGGGATTGCTACCCAGGTGTCTGTGATCAAGGTCAAGGTCACTGTTACTAAAAATAGAAATTCAGTTTCCGCTCAATAACTTGAGTTTGCTTTGACCTATTGACACCAAACTTGGTGTATGGATAGCTTATATCAAGAGGCAGCTTGGGATTGCTACCCAGGTGTCTGTGATCAAGGTCAAGGTCACTGTTACTAAAAATAGAAATTCAGTTTCCGCTCAATAACTTGAGTTTGCTTTGGCCTATTGACACCAAACTTGGTGTATGGATAGCTTATATCAAGAGGCAGCTTGGGATTGCTACCCAGGTGTCTGTGATCAAGGTCAAGGTCACTGTTACTAAAAATAGAAATTCAGTTTCCGCTCAATAACTTGAGTTTGCTTTGGTCTATTGACACCTAACGTGGTGTATGGATAGCTTATCTCAAGAGGCAGCTTGGGATTGCTACCCAGGTGTCTGTGATCAAGGTCAAGGTCACTGTTACTAGAAATAGAAATTCAGTTTCTGCTCAATAACTTGAGTTTGCTTTGGCCTATTGACACCAATCTTGGTGTATGGATAGCTTATATAAAGAGGCAGCTTGGGATTGCTACCCAGGTGTCTGTGATCAAGGTTAATGTATTTAGTTTTCATGTTATAACTTGAGTTTGCTTTGACCTTTTGACAATAAACTTGCTGAGTGGCAGCTTTGGATTGCTACTTAGATATCTGGGAGCAAGTTCAAGGTCATTTGCTTACAATAGAATTTTCAGCTTTACTCATTAACTTCAGTGTACTTTGACCTATTGATTGCTGTCACATCAAAATTTGGTTGTTGAAAACCTGGTTTTCGTCGCATTGCAGCGCTTCTTGTTTATTATTTAATATATATTATTTTCTTTTAATTAAAGATTTGTTTATTATTTTCTTGAAATACTTAATAATATTTTTTTAATTATTTTGTTGAAAACCTAAAATTTGTTTTGTTTTGTTTTTGAGAACTTACAATTTCTAATGCTGTTGATATTTTTGGAAAATATACAGGTATGAAAAGAATTTGATGTTTCACCGTTTCTGGTCAGTGGATGACGAGCAGGTGCATACAGAGTACTCTGCCCTTAGATCTATCGTTGTTACAAACTTTGAGGAGACGATAAAAATGCCGATTAACGAGCCGGCACCTGGGAAACGCAAGAGTCAGATACAGGTAATTAACAAATTTGTTATTGTAATTGATTATGATCATGTTTGGATATCTACCGTATTGAAGGGGTCAAATGATCGCTTTTTTAACTTAATTAGTGAAAGAAAAATGTTTCCGAGGTTTTTTCCATGAGTAGTTAACAATTTATTTAATGGAAACTTTAATTTGATATAGAAACGGTGTCAGGTATCCATCTCTGTTAAGTTATCAAGATCGCTTGTTAATGTGTAAAACAAAAATGAATCGGCAGGGAATTTAGGTCAGGTCTAGAAACTTATTTGCAAGGTTGTAACCGGGTACAGCACAATCTTAGATGATTTTATATTTTGACAAAAATCTTATGATATATAACTGGAACTGTTGTTTCAAATCATTTACTTGAAAAAGTCAATTAGGGAAAGAAAACGTTAGAAGTGATTGAAAATTTGACAAAGCTTTGTAGTTTGTAGGTACTACCTGCTGGTATATGACTAAAATATGTATGTCTCCCCCCCACCAAATGTTGTCGACCAATCAAACCTGCTCATATATATATTACAGGAGTATGTAGATTATTATGGTGGAGCCGGGGTACAACATATCGCCATGAACACAGATGACATCATTACAGCTGTAAGTATGTTTATCTTCCTTTGTTTCAAATATGGGATATGAATTTGCCATTTTATTCTCTTTGCCCAGTGATTGTCATTTACAAAGCAAGTACATTAGGTCACCAGAAAACTATTAGTCTTTTAGCGAAGTAGTAAGAAAGACTCTGTTGTGTTGGACTGTAGTGAGCAATGTTGTATATATTGACCATGTAAAAAAAGGTTCTTTATGATACAGGATAACAAATGTTTATTGCAGCCTTACCAGTACACGAACCTTGGACCCTCAAAATACTGTTTTGTAGCTTTATATTCATAGCTGTTTACCCACTTACAAGTTTTCTACAATATGATATATTTATATGATAAACCCTTAATGACATTTATGATATTGACAGGTCACGAATCTGCGAGCAAGAGGCCAGGAATTTCTGAAAATACCAAAGACATATTACACTAATCTTAGAGAGAGGCTAAAGACATCAAAGGTCAAGGTTACAGAAAGTTTGGATGTTGTAAGTAACTTGGTTTTTAAGTCACCAGAACAAAGTTAAGGTGGCATGATTGTGTGCCTGTATGATTTTAGCTGTGTGGGTGTAACTACTCCTTACTTTTGATAAAAGTTAACCCGTTACTGCTGTAATGTGAAGGATTTTGAATTATCCTTTTTGTTGTTTTAAACTCAATTTTTAAACTTTATTTTAGTTGGAGAAGCTGCATATTTTGGTAGATTACGACGACCAGGGATATTTGTTACAAATCTTCACAAGAACCATGCAAGATCGGCCAACATTGTTCCTCGAGGTCATCCAGAGGAAAAATAACAGTGTATGTTGAACTTATGTTTATATTTTGATTCATAAAGTTTATCAATCTTTCTATGTTTTAAATTTGGGCCTCTCCGTGGACAGCCAACTCCTTTTTTCTCAGTGCTCTATAGTTAAATAAAATCATCATAGAAAAAGGGAGCTTAATTCTGCAAATGTTTATTTAAAGGCCCATCATGCCTCAGATATGATTTTATTTTCATTTCTCAAAAGCTTTTAATTTCTAGTGTTCCAAAAAGTTACAAATGGGCCAATTACCTGATCCTTTCTTTGAACCTATTACGTTTTGGCAATTATTACAGATTATCTTATGGTAATTTAGTAATTTTTGTATGGAAGTGAAAATACATGATTGTACTATGCTACTTTTATGGCAAACAATTTTACATTTAGCACTAATTTCTTTGCATGTTTAAACATCTATTATATTATGCTCTAAAATCATTATTTAAATGTTATAAAATGCATGTTTACCCTTTATTAAGTAGGAAAAAATGTTCGTTTCTGAAATATAATGTGCCTTTAAGAAATTAAGTAAAGCAAGCACCAAATTTTAACAAAATGCTGATATAAATTTTCATAGTATATATGATGAAGGTAAACACTTCTTATATGAGTATATTAAAATTATTTTGCAGGGATTTGGTGTCGGAAATTTCAAGTCGTTATTTGAAGCGATTGAGATGGAGCAAGCGGAACGAGGCAATCTGTGATTTACGTCTGCTTACAAAATGTCTTCTGCTTTCACACATGTCTGCTGCAACAAAAATTCACGTCTGCTGCAGGGAGAAGAAATCTCTACTCATTAATCCATATCAAACATCATTTTATAGAACCTAGCCATGTTCTTCAAGAAAATTTTATGGGACCATAATTAAAACATTAGTTACGTAGAATTTAAAAAACTTGACGAATTTTTATTAGAAATTAGAGGAGAAAAACTTGTTACAAATTTAACCTAAGAAAAACTTGTTGTTTTGGATACATAAGTAGTATTTAAATTAGTTTATGAATTTGGTTGATGAAATCCTGTATCAGTATTTAACAGTGTACAATAATTGTTGTCATGTATACTTTAGAATTTTCTTTTGATTTTAAGGGAGCTCCACTCAGGTCAAAAAGTTGAAAAACAAAAATTTTGAAATGTTTGCATAGACTTAAAATGGAAAAAAAACTTGCAAAAGATAATAAAGGTATACTCAGAGTTAAATTGAAAATCTATTTTTTTGCATGATTTTTAGCCTGGTTTGAAAAACTTTTTTCATTTTTTTTTGTCATTTTGCACAGTGAAAATGATTATTCTGTGGAAATAATTATCAGAAACTTTGCACACAAGTTATTAGTGTAGACCTACATCAAATTGTACACAAGTCGCAAAAAAAATATTCCCAGCCCCTGCATGTACAAAACCTAAGTGGAGGCCCTTTAAGGTTATTTTTATGAAATATTATTTCTAGTCTACCAAAACACTTTCATCCAACAGAAGATCTATATTGTTTATGTTTTTACATTAATTTAATTTATAGTACATACATTGTAATTTAGGTAGCACACTAGCATGTCTCAATTTCTGTATCTATTCTGGACAAAGGTTTATATTGAAATTATACATTTTTCATTGATTGAAAATACTCACAAAATTAAATAACCAATCACATCCTGAAAATTGTATTACCCCTGGCAACCCCCACCCCAAACAAAGAACAACAACATAGAACAATATAATGTGATATTTGATAATGCATTTGTTTTCAGTATTTTATCTTAACTTCATACTAATTTGGTTAAAATATGTAATTTCTTAAATCATTGTTAACCTTTATAACATAAACATTAAAGATGAACAATGACCAGGCTTCTGTACATAAGATTTCAGTCAATCATTTATGAATTTTAAAAAAAAATCATAATAAACATGTATGTTAACGATTTTACTCCGTCACTGCTATAGTACTATTATAGATTGGGAGCATAGGATTTTTATCTTTGGAGTCTGCAGATAGCTTCTAGCTTTGCCAAAACTTCATTCTATAAACAAGAGCTTTTATAAGGTACTTGGACATTTATACAAAAATGTAGTCTTTATGATAACAGCTTATTTTATAGCATACATTTAGAGGTTTTATATGACCATGAAATTTCGCTATAACTTTTGTAATTATAAATGTAAATTGACTTCCGACAGGGATTTTTTAGGTAATTTTAAGATCAAATTCTATTTTTTACAAGCCCTTATACATATCATTCTTGTTTGATGTAGTCATGTTAATGGTATCAGGGTTATTGAATATTTATTTTAGCCCGAAAAATAAGAGGATGCAATTTATGTTATACATTTTGTAAATATTTACAGCTTTCATGTACATTTGCTTTAACCAAAGATTATATTTTTAAAAGATGTTAATATTCTAATCCTAAAATGATATTAATTTGTGAAAATATAGAAAAAAAGTCCATTAGAGGATTTTCAAATGTACGTTTGATAAAAAAAAGTATTTTTTTTGCTTTGTAAAAATTTGCTCATTTCACATTCAGTGTTAATATTCAAAATAATCTCATTGTCAAACTTAATTGTTTTAACTTTAAAGTTTTGTAATAAGTTTAAAATCCATGTTTCATGTAATGGTATCTCTACAGAAAATCAGAATGGACTTTTAGAAGGGTTAACTTGAAGGTGACGAAGTACTAAATATTGCAACAGGGTTAACCGAAAGGTGACAAAGTACTAAATATTGCAACAACAGATAGCCTAGATATGGTTATTATAAATTGTACCTGTACATTGCGTAGTAATTTAAATGTTCTCAATCTTTAGAAATATATTCATTATTGCTTGGACAATGTTAACGATTTATTAATGTTTTAATAAATGAATCTCTTTTTTTGGTTTGTATATCTAATATTGTTTTATATCTAATAATTATGTGCTACATGTAAATATTATAAGGAGAATCTCTTAAAGTCCAACTAGTTCAGTGGGGACAATATTTAGTCTTACAGACATTTGAATTGGAAGTTTTAGCCCTGTGTGACAGACATTTTTCTGTTACGATTCAATTGCCTGCAATACATAAAATTCATAATATTCTCCAATGCTGTTTAATATATTTTATGTTGAGAAGTTGACAGTTACTGGAGGAAGAAAGCTTAGTACTGGTAAAGACTCCAGGAGCACTTGTTAGGTAACTGCACACAGTGAAGTGACTGAAATACTGTTAAAACTGGTGCTAAATGCAAAGAAACAAATGATTAGATTATACATGTATGTAATGAGTTTGTTGGTGATATAATCAGTTGTAAATAAAGTTTTATCTTTAATTTTTGTATTTGTTATTTGTTCTTATGTCATTGGATATTATTCCAGGAGAATTTATATGAAAGAAATTTTTGAGTACAATACATGACTGTGGTTATTAACTTCTGCTTCATCATATGCTCATATATATTGATGAATATCTGTCATTATTAGCTTGACTTTTTCGATGGAAAATTTTGAGCTATAATTGCTTGTCAGGTGTCATTGCCACCTAGAAACCAATGTTGGCCACTATTTCTTTAATTTTGTAAAGCATTGTCTTCAAACTTGGACAGAACAACTCTTTGGACAAGACCTTCAAGTAGACCAGACAGAATTTGACCTCAACTCATAAATGACCTTACACTTTAAGGTCAAATTAATGAATTTTTCTTGATGTTTGTTAAAATTGCCTATGACTTTGTTATTTATGAATGGATTGTCTTCGTACTTGGACACAACAATCTTTTGATCAAGACTTCAAGTAGACCAAATTGATTCTGACCTCAACAAAGACCATGAAGGTCAAATTAATGAATTCTGCTTGATTTTTGGCAATAATTGGCTATTGCTTTATCTTCATACTTCAGCAAAACTTCCTCAAGGATCATGTTTAATAAAAGATCAAAATTTTACTGACCTATAAATAACCTTGAATTTTAAGGTCAAATTATGGTAATTTAATTTTTTTTACAAGTTAACTTTAATTAAGTTAAATTATCTGTGCACAACAATCCTTTGGACAAGACAAGAAAAAATATTTAATTGAACTTGATCTTAATTTGACATTGATACTAAAGGTCAAATTAATAAATTTTGGTACAATTGGTCAGAACTTCATTCATTTATGTATTTGATTAATTCTTGGACACACACTTATGACAAAACCCTTAGGTTGAAATATTCAAATATGACCTTGACTTTAATTTGACCTTAACCAATGCTTAGATTGAGGGTTTATTTTTTATAACAAGACTGCTAGAATCGAGTTTATTTTTACTGAAAATGTCCTATTCATGCTGAAATATCATTTAGGAAAACAAAATCTTCTATGTCTAATTTTAATAATTTTTCATTGCATATCAAGAATCAAAACAAAATACAAGATCAATATTAAAGATCTTTATTCAGCATTTAACACTAGTATGTAAAAAGCACAGTGCTCTATACTACAGAAATTTTTGTACTGAATAGTTACTCCAAAAGTCGTTGAATCACAAAATTATAACTGCACTGTATAACTATATGGAAGCTTCAGCCGATTTATACACATGTATGTCCCAATAGGCAGTCTCATAATTATGTAATAATTCATTTATAACTTAGCACATAACTTATGTGCTAGATAAGTACTTGACATAAGCCCTAGATTCATTATTCTAAAACACAATTCAGATTTAATTTGAATAAATCAACACGGATTTCTAGCACCATAATATTTGCCTTCCACAATAAATCTATAATTTATGTAATTAATAAAATGCTCAATATCAGTATTGCTATATATGTTACACCTGTATGTCTGGTCATTTAAACATCATCAACTTGATGCCAGGCTCTTCTTTGATTTCTTTCTCATCAATTTGGGTGGTGCGTTTATTTTGAATGTAGTTCTGAAAAGAAAATGGTCATCATGAAAATGTGTTTCTAAAAGTATTAGTAGTAAATGTCACTTGATTCACTTGCCACTCATCTCCATTATGGTTTAATCAGGGCTGTGTTTCGTAACAGAAAGTCCAAAGTGTATCCCAAGTCCTGGGACATAAACCAATTTTAGAAATAACTATTTTATCTTCATGCAGTCAAATACTGTAGACTATATATAAATAAATTCATTCTCCTGAGAAAAGTTTAGAAATACAATGGCAGACCCTTTTATTCCAAATGTGTAAATGCCCATCAGCATTGCTATTTAGAACTTAAGAGTAATAAATTAGGACATTTTCTTTGATGCACAATATTGTCTCAGTTTTGGTCTATAGACTAATTTCAGACTCAGGACTTTCAATGAAACACAGCCTTGAGTCATATAGCTGCTTGGGCATGGAGGTGCAGGCGAAGAAATTAATAAGTCAATCACAAGTTGATATATTCATACCAAAGTACCGTAAAGGTTTCACATTAAAATTCAAAATCTGTGAACAAGAGGACCATGGTGGGCCCAGATCGCTAACCTGATAGCCATTGCCAGAAATGGTCATACATAATTTTAAAGCTATTTTATCACAATAGGCAGGGGTCGTATTTAACCCAAGGGTCATTTTTCATGTAACTTAAGTAAAGCCCACTAGGCATCCCTACATGCTAAATATCTAAGCTCAAAGCATGTTGTTCACACAAAGATAAAAATATGTTTTCCTATGATTAAAAGTCAGCTTGAAGTACAGTCAATCCTGTGAATAAAGGCCATCAAAACGAGAGATCACACATGGCCTTAGATTATAAACATGTGGTATTTATTTGAAGTAAAATTACTCCTGATTTATTTTTAGTAATAAAGGTGTCAAAAAGTGGTCTATTAACAATGTGGTCTTTATTTGGAGGTGGTCTTTAAATACAGGTTTGACAGTAAGTGTAATGGAAAACCAATTCTGCAAATACCATGTTATAGCTTCTTTTTGCATTTAGAATATTCATTAAACATATTATGATAAAATAATACTACAAGGAATGATGATTATAAGTAACATACATGTAAGAAGGGTATGTTAAATTTTACTTACTGACAAGTTGAACAAATTGGGCTGAATGTACAGAAAACTGAAAGAAAAATAGGGAAGTTGATTATACAAATGAATTTGTAAAAGAGAAAATCGTTATTGAACCACTTTATTCTTGCTTTTTCCTTCTCAACTTTAGCATCTTGATGCTTTCGCTTCAAAATTATTTTTAGCTCTGATCATGCTGATGATGAATGAATCTTAACCCAATCTTTTTTTAAGTGAGTAAGCATGTAAGTATTTTAGTATGGTTAACATAGGTACCAAAAACAAATGCACAAGTCAAAAGTTTCCTTAGTAGGCACACACTCTCAAAAAGTAAAAAAAAAAATCCCAACTTTCTCAATTTTCATAAAAATCAGTAGTGTATTATCCGAGAGCGTGTTGCTTTAAAATAAACAAATGTAAATGAGAAAGCTACCTGAGAGACAAACAGAGCACACATATCCTATATCTATAAGGCTTCTATGACAGAAACATGCTGCTCTATAGTCAACTTGAGCTCGTGGTGGGAGGGTTAGACGTTCTCTGGTGGACGGGTCTGGTAGGTACACCCACTGTAAAAGTAAACACATTTATTAATTGTAGATAATATTACAATAATACAAAGGTTATATATTAGAGGAACTCCACTGAGGTTCAAAGACCTAAAACATAAAATCTGAATTTTTTCCGTAGGTCAACTGGAGCACTTAAAAGAGAAGAGTATATGCAATTATTATTATGTTAATAATGATGTACTATTGGAAATTGAAATACAATAAATTATAAATGTATGATTTTAAACAAGGATTAAAATATTTATTTCTTAAATCTATTAATGCAGAAACTGAAGAATGCATTCAAGTAGTTTTATAAATATTTTGGATTTTAATTTTCTTGAAATAAGCTTTCATGAGTTACTCCCCTTCATGAATAACAATATTCCTTCAGTAATCATACATGAGTTACTTCCCTTGTAATGGGCAAATCAATCACATTGTAAGATAACCAACTTGTAACAGATCAATATCTGTATAATATATCAGTACAAGGTTGATATGTATATATTCAATCACTAATCATACATCTATTTATAGACCAAATAGATCAATATTGTTTATATACAACCACCGCCGGACTTCCCATTAAATAAACCACTACCGACTGTTTAAATTTGGCATACAGTTATACACATATCATTTTATGTTGGTAAATAATTAACCCAATTAAAAACAAATTTGCTACAAAATTATCTAGTGTTTATGCAAACAATATGTTAAAAGTAATTTTCTTAATTCAACAATAAAAAGTCTATCTGTTTTGGTTATTTAATTAACATTCAATGATATGAGCCAAACAACTTAAATTGAAACATTAATTTTTTTATGTCAATTAGTAAAAAGTAAACTGCACTTTGTACTTCATTTAGCAATTGTTTAAACCCAATTAGATTATTTCTATCAAACCAAAATCAACATTTTGAATTAAAAGTAATTACCGGTACAATTTAGCAACTTAACTAATACATGAAAACTTTAAAAATTAAACCTTTAATTGTTTAGAATACCTGAAAACATACTATCTACTATTGTATTTCATTTTGTCTATACATCAATCAAGTTGCATTAGTCATGATTGAATGAAAAAATGCCAAGTTTTCATAAACTGAACCAAGTCAACTTTCGACTGGTTCAGGTAAGTTTATTCCAGCACGACTTTGTCCTGGCATGATGTGTCAAGTCTGTGTCAAGTTCTGACAGAAACGGAACACAGTCTAAACAGCTGATAACATGTCGATTTCACTGGGAACATGCCAGAATTCATGTCAGGAGATGTAAAATCAATGCTTTACTTATAACAGGCTTCCACAAGTCTGTACAAATATAAACACATGATGTTTAAATGCCCAGACAGGTATGTAGGGAATTGCGGTACATGTCCAGGCATTTAAATTTTCGATCTGTCCTGGATATTTGTTTACAATGTTCTACTTTATAATATAGGCAATAAGTAAAAGTTTAAAATATTGGTATTATAATAGGTATAGAAGGTTTAAATTGATTGTTTGCTAAACAGGGTATCAATTACAGTTACTGTATTTACCTTAGATGAACTTTAAAATGGGTTTGCAATTTATTTATTTGTGAAGATTTATTGATCAATTGTTGAATACCGTTCTCTGTTTAACTTTTACTGATATAGATACAGATCTTTCAGTTGTGACAAATACTGGACAGTAAATGTTTTAATATCATGCCATGTTATTATGTACAGCATTTTTTATTAGTTTTATCATTTATAGAAAAGAAAAGAGATTGTCATTGCATGGTATTAAAAGTGAATGAGTGTTTGAGTTGGTGACTTTTTGTGTGCATTGATGTGCGAGTGAGAGAGTGAATACTGTTTTAAACGATTAATATTTCAAATGGATGGATGGAATAGCAAGGACCATTATATTATATTTTTTATAAAAAAAACGCAATATAAGAAAATAAGCAAATAAGAAAATAAGCAAATAAATAAAAAAGCAAATAAATAAATAAATATTTTTTATTAACAGATTAAACCTCATGGTATAAAGCTGATTAACAAAAGAAATCATTCTTTCTTAAAAATAATTTTCAAATACAAGCAGATGAGATGAAATCTAAATGTAATATCACAAATAAGAAATAATAAAAGATATTGAAATAAAAATATATCACTTTTGTCCCCTCATTTTACATGGTAGATAACTTAGTAAGACAAGGTACATCCCCTCCAGTCATGACTGTCGCTAATATCATTATTAAGACTAACTTAAAAGCTACCAGAAAATCTATACAATCATTACACAAGTATCTATAGCTTCCTAAAAAAAAGCAAATACTTTATACCTTAGTTAGAAATTTTTACTCTTATGAAACCCTACTGAATTTGAATAAACTATAATGAACTGTCCTTGCATTTAATTTGGAACATTCCATTATAAATTTTAAGGGATTTTTAAACTCTCAATAAACAACATAAAACTCAAAGCAAGTAAAGTCCATTACAAAATGTCCATAGGGTGAAGGTTCATTTAGAATTTCAATACCTAGACTAAGGGCTAGGCAAGCTGCAATACAAAATTGCCTTTACTAGTCTAGCCTTTACTTCTGTGCAATGTAATTTAGGCTCTACAATGAGCGCAACATTATTTTAACAATTCTATTTCATATTCCCTAATATTTACAATGGTCAGATCTAAATTCAATGTAGGACATGTCCACTTTACAATTATTGGACGGTCTGGGTGAAATTAAATAATCAACCTGTGATTAAATACTCCAGATTCAATGAGAAATCAATGTCATATAATCATAACAGTATTTAGTGCTTGCTTCAGACATATGATGGCTTTATTATAACTGTTTAAATTCATTTATACAGAATATATCTCAATTTGATGGTGTAGCAAGATACAATAGGCTTATAGACACACTCTCCAAGTTTCTTGCCAAAGGAAAAAATGGCTTGTCCCAGACAGGGTATGTACCCATGCAGCAAGCATCCTTAAATTACTAGTGGTGGTTTAACTCTTGTTTCTAAATAATTCATACTACAGATCTGTTCTGTTTTGAATTACTAACGTTAAAAGAATTTCATTGTCAAAATAGCATTGCCAGAGTTTCTTTTTATCTGAGGCAATAGATGTAACAATGTAAACAACTGATTTGGCCAAAGACAAGCTTGATATTGTTATCTACAGACTGACAATACAACCAATTTTAACAGCATTTTAACTGATGATATGGATCGTCAATTAGTTCATAATGAAGAGCTTGATTTGACTAATACTGTCTTAGTTGCAGTAGTGGACTTGTGGTAAATGTAAAGTACTATCCACTGCCCCTCAGACAATCGTGCAAACAGCATGGATATAAAGGAAGGTAAATCTCTATCCTGGTAATCTGCAGCACAAGTTTCAAGGAGAAAATGGATATAATACATCACCTTAATGCAGCAAATGGTTAATTTCTATTAAATTCAAATGCAGTTAACCGGTTAAATTCCACTAAGGTGACAAAATACTATTTTGTTAGATTTGTGAAGTAAACAGAAATATAATTTGTCATTTTAATGCAGTAAAGGGTTAACTCCTATTAAACTTAAAAGCATTAAGCTGGTTACTGCACTAAGGTGACAAAATATTATTTGTAGCTAACAGAATTATGAGCACACTATTTAGTCATGTTACAAATAAGCTTATACAGATTAAACCTTCATATCACAATAGTATTAATCTTTACTGCAATGCTAATGTATTTATGGTAGTTAACTCAACAATGATAAGTGGTAATACCTTGCAGAGTTAACTCCCCTAATAATATACAAATACGTTATCATGTATGAGGTGCCCTGCATGCTTAGTGTATTTTTTTTTGTTATTGGTTGATTCAAGTTGCGACAACACCATAGATGTCAGATGGTGTTGTCCAGTTTTTCTGGTGGAGGAAGATCTGAGGTGCCCTTCTGTGCATTATTTCAGGCACAAATGGGCACCTGACTACAACCAACGACGTTCTACAAGCTAGCTGGATAGCTTCAACACAACTCATGGCAGATTCCCTAATGGGATTTCAACCTTCAGCAAGGGAGGGCAAAAGGTTTGAAGTCCATTACCTTAACTGCCTTGCCTAGGACACCCAGTTTAATGCTTAAAATAAGGTGATGATGCAATGTTTTGTGTTACAAACATCCCAGCACTAGACTACCATGCTTAGTTTTAGACTACTAGCAATTAGCTAAAGATACTTCAGCAAACAAGTTTTATAGTACTGCTGGACCAGTTTACTGTTGCAACGTCAGAATAAAAGCGACATATAAAGTTATGGAAGCCAGAACTAACTAGCAATCATTGCAAAATAGTAGATGATGAAGTTTGTGCTTCTCCAAAAAAACTTTAACTACTGGATGTCTCAAAACAGTTCAAACAGAACTTTTGAACAAAGTGATCGGCAAAAATAATCTAATCTAATGTTTGAGCCGGCAGGATAATTGTAATTGCTAAAGATACTAGTAAAATATGCACTCTCAAAGAACACGATTCATCAAAGACAAAAACTGTTAATGTGAAAATCTTTTTAACAACGTAATAATTATCAAGCATATCTATTAAAAGAACAACAGAAAACAACAACATGGAATAGAAATGATTACATAAAGTCTGAAGTAAGCCTCTTTAAGATAGTAAAAGTTCAAATATCTAAGCTGTACATGTAGGACATATAGTTTTAGAGAAGATTTAATTGGTTTTTTTTCTATAAAGGTCTAAAACAAGTGGGCTTGAGTGCCGGGCCATCCGTCACCCTAAAGGCATGATTTATACAGTCAATTCTGGATATTTTGAGAACAAAGGGACTACTACCCATGATTCCATCATATAACTATTTCTCAATTTAACTGTGGCAGACCAATTTCAAAACTTTGACACAGTCTGGCTATTCTTTTAAAAAAAAAAAACTTTCTTTTGAAGATTACATTAAGTCATTTAGTTTCATTGCACAACATATGTTTATCAAATTTTAAATTGAATTATCAACAATTGTGAATCAATCGTGATCAACAATTATTATGAAACAAAATCAAACATTTAGAAACATGGATGTGACAGATTTTTTTTTTTTGTTACATTTGTATTCATTTTTTTATTTCCATTTCAAAATGTTTGCAGTGTATTATTCACAAACACTGTATAGTCAAGAAATTAGCCATTACATTTGTGGCTATCAAAAACATTTAGTAATCTAACGTTCCATCACCATGTCCATTAAAACCAGTAGCACAGACATAACTGAAACTGACCAGTGTTTTCACAAGAAGACAAATCTGACATTATTTTAGTAAAAACTTATTGAAAATGTGCTCATTGTAGACCAATCCACTTTAAGATCTAAAATCAGAAGATGAATAAAGAGAAACATACCAACAGATACTGTAGAAGTCCCTGAGGTTGTGGCACTTTCAAATATACACCTCCAGTTATATCACATGCCTGAAATAAATAATACAAGATCTTAATTACTTAACCAATCAGATTGCAGGAAAAAACTGAGTTGTGTTTATGACTAAACAAACCAACTAATTCGGTAAGATTGGCAAGCTGGTCTCACTAATGTATCTATACAACTTTTGACAGTTAAGTCAGGTGGTTGATTAAATATAATATTTAAGGGACTCCACTGAGGTTTTTAGACATGACAGGACTGAAAATATTTTTTCTGAGATTTGTGTACCAATTCATTTAGGTCTTTAATCGAGTAACTTGTTTGCAAATTTTAAACCTCTTCCCTCAAATGATTTTTCCAGAATAATAGTTTATACTGTGAAAAATTAGCCCAAAATGAAAAGTATTTCGATGCTTTTAACTCAAAGTCAGCTAATAATCGCATATAAGATTGATTTTCAATTTAATGCAGAGTATATTTTCTTTGTTATCCTTCGGAGATTTTTCAATATTAAGAGCTTCACTTGATATGTTTAAGCTTTTCAAATTTTATGTATGTACACCTCTGGAACTCAGTTGAGCTCCTTTAATGATGGTTTATTTATTAAATTGTGGGAACAAGGCAAAAATATTCATCAAATCGGGAGTTTAGGTAACATTTTCAAATATTTACCTGTTGAAGAAGTCCAGAATCATTGTCTAGGATACATGCATCTATAACAATATTCTGAAATGAAAATAAAAATACTGAGAAACCATGGCAACCATATCTAAGCATACTAGTATTACATTCATCTAAAAGAAAAGCTTTTTCTGTAATATAATTACCAAAATAATACATGTACTTACATTGTAAGTCAAGCAATTCTAAAATAGGGTCATGATGGCCAAGCAAATATAACTGAATTAACACCATGTTACAGCTCACTTCTTTTCCAGAAATTTTACAGATTTAGATAAAAAATTTCATTCTAATAGCTCAATGTCTACTCATCAAACAAACATACTGCAAAATACATTAAATTTGAAACCTTGACTAAAATTCAGCCCTAAATGAGTCAGCCAAACAAAATCTTATTTCAGCAATCAAAACTATATATTTTTATTTCTGAGTGCATACCAGTTTTTGTGCAGAGAAAATTGTATTCATGAAGTTCATATATTGAGCTGGATTGTCCTCTGAGGCTTTGACGACCTGAAATTAACAAAACATGATTTGGTACAGACATACATTTTTTAGGGTTGCTTTTAAGCCCATAGTATGGTTAGGTCAGAAGCTTTTTGGTAATCTTCTACAAGCAAATATATATTTCTATGATTTTTGCAAACTTTAAATACTGCAGGATGATGATGCATTTTATCAATATAACATTACAAATTAATAGTTTTTGAAATTGAAATAAGTTCACAATATTTATCTAATGGTGGGCTATTTTAACAAAAGAATGATATCAGAGGAAGAAAGTACATTACCAAAATCCTGGAAGACATCTGTACGTCAAGCTGGGCTTCCTTCTCCATTCTATGTATATCTTCACAAAGTCAAAGAAACGATCATTTCAAAAGAATTCATTAACAATGTTTTAAGAATTCAATAACAATATCATTAATTTAGGAGTTCATTAATAATGTTATGGGAGTTCATTTACAATGTTATACAAATTCATTAACAATGTTATAAAAATTCATTTACAATGTTGTACAAATTCATTAACAATGTTATACAAATTCATTAACAATGATGATTAGAGTGTAACATGTCCTAAAACTATTACTTAAACATTATATAACTCATATCTACCCTTTCTAAAGAAAAAGGAAATGTAGTAATTTCTTAGGCAATATATGCCTTTAAGATATCAGCTCTGTAATATATCAATTTAGTGATATACATGTATCAAGTTAGTGAGATAACAACTTATTGAGATATCAGCTCTGTGAGATATCAAAAAAGTAAATAAAAAAACATAGGCTACATATAAGTGAAAGGATACAGCAAAGCGCCATGGATACAGCCCCAGCAATGAGTGAGTCATTTTCAAACTCTACCTCCATACCTGTAAAATGATAAATAATAATATGTATAGCTGATATACACAAACAAACACAAATTGTAATGGTCAACAGTTCATTTCATCACTGCGCATGCAAAGGATTTCAGCAGTTCAAGAAAATATTTGTAAATATAGTGTTAACGCACGTTTTTCCGTGTTATAACGTCTGCAGAGTCCCGAGGAACGGTTGGTGCCCGAGCCCGGTAGGGCGAGGGCTCCAACAGTTCCAGGGGACTCTGCAGACTTTATAACACGGAAAAACGTGCGTTGACGCTATTATAACATAAAATTTCCAAACAGATTCGTGATGTATAGTTTATACAAAACACAATTACATTAAATTCTTGTGCTTGGACGGTATTTATCCAATTCTAGGTTTTACGTATGCGTTTCATTTTTCCGGTGCCAACAACTTGGAAAATTCTCGGAACCGAACAAATTTCTTAATTGATTTAACAAAGCTTGGCCTTTGGAGATTTATTATCTCAAGAAAAAAAAACGTTACATTACTCTACCCTCTACCCAAGACAAAACATGACCCTCAGAAATTCTTAGAATGATTTCAGATTGACGGTAGAAAAGGATCAGTGACATCAGAATCGGTTTTTTTTTCCAAGCAAACAAGTTTATAAAAAAATCAGGCACTAAGCATTATTCTCTCAAAGAAAAGCATTTATCAACATTAACATAAATAAAAAACATTTTCTCATATTAATTTTGTGTTAGTTAATCGGAGTGTTAAACTGAATGACAGGTAGATTCTACTGTATTTGTTTACATTGACAACTGTCCGTTTCTTAGAAAGGGCGACAACCAAGATTATCACCGATGTCTATACGCCGTTTTTCCGGCATAGTTACTTGAATATGTGACTGAGGCCCTCGAATCAATAAATTTCAATATAACAAGAGCGCATGACTCTTTGGCAAACAGTCCAAATCGTCATTTTTTGTTTGTTTGTTTACTGGGCCCTGTATGTATTGCGCATAGGTGAAACCGGGCTATAACAAGAGCTCGTGACTATGTTAACACATGGTTTTGGTCCCGTTATAACATGGGCAAAAGAGGGAAAAATAGCCGATTTTATGCTATAATAAGGAATTATTATCTATAGAATGCCTTAGGTAATAACATAAACTGTATAAGCAATTAATAGAAGATTCAAAATTAATGTATAACATGATATTTTTATTGCATTGCAGTTTACTCTTCAAAAAGAACGTGTACCATAATAATCAAGATATAATTATAGAGTGCTGGAACACCAAGGATAATGAACTTACTATTGAGTACAAGGTCTTTAATTTCCTCTTTTACGAGGTAGTTCATACGATCAAACAGTTCGTACTTCCCATCATTCAACTCTCCGTCAATCACTGCATCTACGCTATCATTCTTCTTCTTTGGATACAAAAAATGGCTGCAATATCAAAATAATCTTATTTGAATTATATATGAATTATTTAACCTCTTCATCATTTTGCATTCTTGTTATATGGATTTACTATGCTATAAATCTTGTGCAGTCTAATAACTTCATCTTAAATTTGTTCAACTTCTCCCTGTATAGGTTTTACAACTGATACATGTATGTGATAGAAAGAGCAATATTATAATACACAAAAAGAACAATAATACACAAAAAGAGCAATATAATACACAAAAAGAACAATAATACACAAAAAGAGCAATAATACACAAAAAGAGCACTAATACACAAAAAGAGCAATAATTAACAAAGTAATCTGTTTTGTATAGGAAAAAAATGCACATCTACACAAGTGCTGGAAGCTGACTTAAAATTAAAAACAAAAGGTCAGATATTATTTCCACATACCTAGCATTTGAGTGAGCTGCTATAAAAGCTATCTTATTCAAATGGTTCATCATCAAATGAGAGTTGGCAAACACCATCAGTGTGTCCACACATTTTGATAAAGTTAACTGAAACAAGAAATGTCAAAATAACATACATACCAGTCACTCCCTCAACTTTTATTGTGTAATATGAATAAGAATAACTTTCCACAACAATGTAATACCAGGAATAAATTGTTAAAATGTTTTCATGGGGGCTAAGAAGAATAAGCTTTTAAAGCACAACGCCTGGAGTTTCGTGCTAATTTTCATTAAAATTTGGAAAATGTATTTGAATGTTTGATATTGTGAAGTAACCAAAAGGAAGCAATTTATACATTATCAATGGCACTTACAAACCATGTTAAATTACCAAAAAGTGGTAAAAATATGCATTAACAGCCTTTACTGTGTTAGTAACACAGTAGAAATTTAGTTGTTAATACTGAAAAATCAGTCATTAATCACAAATAGTATGTAAATTATTACTTGAATCTTTTAACTTTACTTTTCCTTACATTTTAGTACATTTTTCACGAGTTTGACTTTATTGAAATATTTTGACTCATCTGGAGGCATGTAACTTTAACTGTATAGTGTTCTTTTCTTTCTTTTTCCATGAAATGTATTGGAAGCAAATTTTATGTAAATGTTTCATATCTTTTAATAACCAAGTAGATTCCAGGATAAGTAGGAAGTTACAGATATTTTGTTATATTGCATTATTATTTAAGCAGATAAATCAGCCCGTTAGGACTGTACATTCATATTTGATTAAAATCTATCAATTTGTGAGGGATTAATTAAATGTTCAACTTCCTGTCAGTAAAGATGATTACTTTAAGGGTTCAACAACATGTAAGGTTATACACAGTATTCATCAGAAAAGCCCAATGAATACATCATTGTAGTTGCAGAAATTCTTAATTACATCCCTGTTACACAGAAGTCAAGCTGGAAAATAATTATGAACTAACTTAATATTAAAATGATTTTCCTTTTTAGTTTAGTTTATATGAATTTATTTTTGGAAGCTATAAGCTTATTGAAATACTCACGAATATGTTCGCTGGTAGTAAATAGTACTTAGCAATGATCGTAAAGTTTTTTGCTCAATGAACCAAAGGCCCTTGAACCCGCGTGGCCAGCAATTCTTAGATTACTTGTCTGACAGGTTTACCACTCGGCAACGCCGCCACTATTTTAAAGGACAAATTGAGGACAATGCAAAAAAACAAACAGTAACCTTTTTATCTTCATTTGAATTTCCTCTCCCCCACCAGGCAGGGTTTGTATCCAGCACAATTACTAGCAGATTACTGTTGACATTTGTACTTTCTGAAATAAATGTAATTATAATTTAACATTATGTAATGGAGAAAAAAGGGTTGTATATATAACAACAATTTTTCCCCCCAGTTTTGTGGTGTCCTCCCCATAATAAATGAGGAATATAAAAAATGAGGCATGCTTATTTTTGGCAAAGTGCCAATGACGAATTTCTATTGTCAGATTGGTTCGATTTATACATAATTAATTAAGTTTCAATCGTGAAAAAGCTTACAGTTTACAGACACACTCTTGAATCCATTCCAGTGGATCCAACCAGTACTGAACAATGAGTGTAAAGTTTCTTGCCAAAAGAAACAACAGCTCGTCTCTGGCTGTGATCCTAAGATTACTTGTCTGACACATTAACCACTCAGCTGTTGCCGTATCATGTATATTTGTAATAAAAATCAAATTAAAACAATACACTTGTAAAATTAACACTGAACATTTAAAGCAAAGTTGCATCACATACATGAGACTTTATAAAAATGCAAACTAATTTGCAATGAGCAGTGCAATTTGTCGGACTAGTATAATTAAGATAATATGAAAGAAAGGCAAAACCAATGAACGGATAAGTCAGATAAAAAAATTTCGTTCATTTTCATTTTACAATTTTGTTTTAAGGGTCTCATTTGATATTTCATGCACCACTTCTGCATTAAATCATAACACCTCCACGTTTCTTTAAAGCTGAAAAGTTGTGATTGTTTTGTTTTCGAAATAGCCCTGCAATTATCATTGATTTACAAGTTGAATATGGCGGCGCAGAATAAGAATTGACACTTAAAATTTCACTGGTAGGTATAGAAAGCTATATATTTCAGGGGCGAAGCCAGCTTTTTTCAACTTCAGGGCTTGACATTAACGGTTGTCCGACTGCCCGGGACAACTAAAAGTTTGGTCCGGGCAAGTTATTTTGAAAAGCACATGTCAGACAGGGCAAGTGAAAATGAGAAGCATCATTAACAAAATAAATAGAAAAAACATCTTTTCATTTATAAATATCTGTAAAACAAAAATACACCACAGGGCTCTCGTTAGCATTTTGAGACTGGGGCCAGGGTCCATGCAGAGGGGGAATTTTGCATGATTTTCAAATATTTTTCATTTAAAGGGGATTTTTTATTTTTTCGGTAAGACTTGAAATTGTGCGACATGTTTGAATGCTAAAAACTGTCCGGAACATTTTATCTATATATACATACTAATTTTCGATAGCCGTTCCTGAGAATATGTACTAATTTCTGGTTGCCAGTCATGGAATACATACTAATTTCTGATTGCCGTCCGCGGAATACGTACCTATTTCCGGTTGCCGTTCGCAAAATATATATTTGCTGATCGGCATTTTCTATGCCTGTTAAATATTAATTTCAAGGGATTTCAAGGGGGATTTTTTTTTGGTTTTAGGAGAAAAACACACTTTTTGGGTGGGGGAATGGGGCCCGATATTCGGCCCCAAATTTTATCAAACGAGAGCCCTGCACCATGAATCATTATACACTACTGTCATGTACATTTGTTGATAAAGGAAACAGAAGCAAAAATATGAGCATGCGCTGCGGTAAGGTAATTCCCCGTTCTAATAATAGACTATATTTAATTTTGTGCAAGGTGATTCCCAGGTCATGCTGTCGTTTTAATTTTGATGCATGCATGTAAACATGGTAAAGATATCATTGAAAATATGTAATTAATTGTTTTGATCTTTAAATAAAATTGTTAAATAAAGTTTTTGCATTAAAAAATATTTATTGTTTTAAAATTAAACAAACCAAGGTCGGGGGAAAAGTGTTTTTTTAAAAAAATTTTTAAAGGGAAAAACCAAAAGAAAAAAAATTTAATGAAACCCCAAAAAGAGGCCCTAAAAGGGGTTGGGTAAGAAGTAAATTTAAAAGGAAAACCAAATGTGGACTTTTCCATTCTTAAAAAAGGGAAAACCTAATTTAGACTAAAATTAAATATAATTTTGTGGTTGTCAATCGAAATTTTTAGCTTTTAAAAATTTTACCAATTTTTTGCTAAAAATTTTGCCCCCTGCCAAGCCAAAAAAACCCTATGTTTTTTTTTCATTTCTTTATAAAAAGAAAAAGGGTTTGAATAAAAAAAAGTTAAAACCCGTTTAGTTCAAAATTTTACTTATTTTCTGGTACGGGTAAATGGTACCAAAAACCGTTTGAAAAATTTTTAATTTTGGGCAACCACCAAACCCCCCCGTTTGTAAAGGCCTGAGCGGTCACAGCATTTGACTTCACCGTAAGTTTAGAATGAAAGTAACAATATCTGTTTAAAATCTCTGACAGGAAAGTAGCTAAGTACTTCATGTATTAAATGATAGTTATGTGAAAAACAGAAAAATGCTAATTAGAAGCCGGTAAGGCCATTTGCACGAGGCGAATTCTATCTCACCACTCATCTTGTTCCTAAATCAATTCTCTTTTTCCTTTTAATCTGAAGAAATGGGATCATCGCAATGTCTTAAGTAGCCTTTTCATTGTGAAACAAATTGTAATTTGTCAAGATCTGAATCTCTTTTATTTAATTAAAAATATTCACTATCGTTATTTCAAAAATTGTTACTTTTTCATTGTACTTATTCAAATGGCGCACCGTGAACTGGATAAATCCTGATACTCGAAATACGGATAGGAGAGTGACATCCCGGGATCAGATCCGGAATCATATATATTAAACATACTAAGAGGTGAGTGAATATAATGTTTTTGTTGTGAATTCGTAATATATGGCTATTTAAAGTTACAAATAAGATTTAAAACAATTAGATCTATATCACTTTAATGTTGTTTTTTTTTGTGATCATGCAAAATTTATTATTATTCTTTTTTTTTTAGAAAGAGCCTCCTAGCTTGTTATATATTCAGGCATGATTGCTGGGAAGTATAATGTAGAAGTAAATAGATGTAGGTTTTGTCTGTTTAGATATACTTTGACTACATTGTAAAACTTCTATTTCCCCAGATAGCTGCACACTACCTGCACAAGTAGACATATGATGGAAGAGAAGACCACGTACATGTACGTTTGTACGACAATATATGCGTCATTAGCCTTTGTTATAGGTCTAATACACTAACGTAATTATCGAACTTTCATGTCAAAGTTTAAACATATTTTATTGCAGCACATATATATGTAAAAATGTTATACAAATGATAAGCATATCAGAATTGATTTAAAAAGCAAAAGGGTTCAACAACAAGTTCTAGCAACATTAATTAGATTAAGTCTTTCCCGGAAATAAATATCATAGAAATAATACTTCAGTGGACAACAATGATTACTATTAATACGTATATAAAATTTAAAATATGTTATAAATGTTGTTGAGAGCTGCGACCAATGCATGTTAGTCTTCTTTGTTAATCTTTATCCTCATTTCTTTTGCATTTTGGATAATTAACAGTATTTTTACGAAGACTGCTCAGAACAACACGATCGAAGGACCGGTTGGTTCCGAAAATTATTCGAAGAAAGGTTAGAGGAGGTTTGGATGTACACCAGTATGATTCACATTATGCAAACCTTTGAAATGAATTAGGAACCTACTAGTTTTCCGTGTATAAGAGTCTTAAATATTGCCTAGAAATATTTGTTAATTTTGGATATTCATATTGATCGGAACACTAATATGCACATGATTGCAAGACGCTTTTTCTGAAGATTATGGTCAAATAATGTAGCCTAAAATATGAGACTACTTACTAGCCCCTATAAACAACATTGCGACGTAAAACCAAATGAAAGGGGACAAACAATCGTTAAGCACGACATTATTGTGTTTGTGGTATATTTTGTGCCTTCTACTTGACTTTTATAGTTGAGTGGTTCCAGTACTCCTGCTTGAATACTGAATGATCACTCATAAGATATGTTGGTTACTTTTTACATTTATTTTGTACGGCTTGATTGTGATGTGCAGACTTCAACAAATTTTATCACCTTCCAAAGATGCACTTTTTTTAAGTTTGCCAATTGTTTTCTCGCTTGGGCACCGATTTTAATTACTTGTGGACCATACACCCCTTGGCGAAGGTATCACATTAAATGTTTCATGATAACCGCCGCAATAACACAACCGTTTCTTTCCAATTCATATTAGTATCTAAAATTTTAATGTTGGATTCTGCTTTAGCGGATGCTAGCGTGGCACGTACGGTTTACTTTTACCGTACTGACCATGAACAGACGCAAATAATCTAGCTGAGTCTTCATCAGGTGTAGTTTTGGATGGTTGTCAAGCCGGATGGACAGCTAATGTTCGAGACACACAAGTTCTGCATATCGAGCGGGTACCGCATCGAATCGGGATAACAAAAGTGCTTGGCGAGGAGGAAGCAAAATTATGAACACTATTCACAAATCACAATTATGTATATGTAATAAATCAATAAAGAAAAAGCAAATTGTTCTTTCAAGTAAAAGTTTTGTATGTGACATTTGCTAGACATTTCGTTCAGGCTTATCTTACAATCATTGCCTGATTGTTTTCATCCACACAACCATTACCTATTTGCCATTAAAATCAGACTCTCTTTCACTTCAAAACAAATATTTTTTATTTATTTAACATGTTGATACAGAAGTATCAGGAAATAAAACAACACCTCAAAAACCAAAACAACAACAAACAACAACAACAACAACATCAACAACAACAACAACAATAATAATAATAATAATAATAAAATAATAATAATAATAATAATAATAACAATAATAATAATAAATAAACAATAAATGAATACATGTAAAAAAAATAAATAAAAAAAATAAGACAACAACCAAATAAACCAAAAAGAACAAAAAGGAAATAACAACATAAAAAACTGCTCCAAAAATAAATTTAAAAATCTAGCTTTTTTTGCTTTGGGGTTAAACCTGATTTGTGTTTGGGAAAATGTAGGGCAAATTTACCGGGCCGAAAAAAATTTTGCCAATTAATTTCACCTTGGTTATTTTAAAAAACCAAAAATTATTTCCCTCTTTTCCTTTTGATAATTGTAACGCCAAAATTTTCCCCCGTTTTAAATTTTCCAAAGCCCCTTTTCCATGATTAAGTTCTCCCGTTTTTTTCCCAAAGTTTGAAACTTTTTCTTTTAAATGGGCCAAATTTTTTAAAAAACCTTTTTTAAATTTTCTCTTTTAAATTCTTAAATTTCCTTTCAAAAATTTTAACATGTTTTTTCTTCCCTTCATACCCCTTGCCCCTTGGTTTTTCCCCCTTTTAAAATTGGATTTTTTCCTCAACAAAATTTTTTTTTCAAGTTGTCCAAGCGACCCCATTTTCAAACTTTAACCTTTTATTTTTTTCCAATTTCCTTTTTTTTTTTTTTTATTTTTATTTTTTTTGTTAAAATCAAATGGTTTTTTAAAAACAGTGGCCCATTTTTTTTTAACTTTTTTTTTTTCATCCTTTCTTTTTTTCAAAATTTTAGGTTTTCAAGACCTCCCGTTCTTTTTTCTTTTTATTTTAAAGGGATTCCTTTAAAAAACTTGAATCGAATTAGTAAAAGCTTTTTATTTAAAAGAGCTTGATTGTTTTTCCAATCGGGTTTTTTTCAATATGTTTTTTAAAACACCTCGGCAGGTGTCCCAAACGTCTGTTTATAAGGGGAAAAAAGGCCCCCACAACAATTTAAAAAATATTGAAAACCTGGGAAAAAAAAATCGCAATTTTTAAAACAAAAAAAAAAAAACACTGTTTAAGCGTGGAAAAAAGTTAAAAAAACAAAAACGTTTATATCAAAAATATCAAAAAATACAAAATTTAAAGAAAAACTAAAATTTTTATTTAAATATTAATTTTTATTTGAAAAACTTCATTGAAAAAAATCCCAAGGAAAACCCAAAAAAAAAAAAAATAAAATTTAAATAAAAACGATTTTAAAAAAGTTAGCCAATTTCCTTTTTTGAAAAAATAAAATTTCTTTTTGATAATAAGCTTTATTCTCCTTCCCTTCAAATTTAAAATGCGGGAAAAAAAAAAAATAAAAAAAAATAAAATAAATTAAAGATATCAAAACAAACTTAACCCCCCCAACAATAATTCAAAAAACTACAAACAAATTTCAAATAAAATAAAAATAAAATATAAAACAATAAAAATCCTTTACGTTACTATTCAAAACCATGTTTAGGGGGCGGTAGTGATTTTTTATTTTTGAAAATACCCTAAAAAACCCAAAAAAACCAGTTCAAAAATATATTTAAGATCCAAAAAATTTTAAATGGGGGGATTCATTTTAAATTAAAAAAAACATTAAAGATTATTAAAATCTTTAAATTTGCGGTTCCGTAAAAAAAAGGGGTGGTACACTAAAAAAAAAAGAAATCCTTTTGAACAATTTGGGGAAAAAAAAAAATGCAAAGAAAATTCATTATAAAGGCTTCGCATAAATGTAAATAAATTGTCTGTTATTAAAAAAATTTTTTTATTAAAAAGCTGCAAATTTTTTTTAAATCTCATTTCAAAAAAAATTCATTTTTTTTAGCCTTTTATTTGATTAGTTATTTTTTATTTGTATTTAATGGAAAAAAAAACTAATTTAAATTTAGTTTAACTTCCAAAAATATGGCTTTTGACCCAAATAATTCTGTAGATTTTAATTTAAAAATACTATTTACAAATGTACATGATTGGTTTAAAATTCCAGAAAATTTTAAATTCTTAAATGATAGAAGGAAGTAATTTAAATCAGTTTTTAAAAATTTTCATAAAGGTTACGAAACATTAATTTAAAAAAAGCCCATTTTGAGATGGTATCATTTGTAATTATTTTTTTTGGAAGCTGTTTTTCCTTCATAATTTATTAGGTCTCCCCCAAATTATAATATTTTTTATTTTGCTATTTTCAATACGTCTGTCAAAAATTTTAAATTTGGGATAAGTAAATAAACACAGTTACATACACTTTTTAAACCCGGGTCTATTTATTTTTGATAACTTTTTTTTTAAAAAAAAATCTAGTGGGGGAAAGGAAAACGAAAAACATATTTTTTTGCTGGGTTTATTATTTTTCAATAAGGCCGCGAAACTAGGCCCGCTGGTCGTTTTTGATTGAATCCCGGTCCGGGACTTTTTCTGTTTAAGCTATTTGTTAGGGAAATCGGGGTGGTTTTTTTTTTCCCCCCCCCAAAAAGGGTATTTGGTGGAAATTGTTTCGAAAAGGTTTTTTAACCCAAACCACTTTTAACTATTTTTTTAAAAAAAAAACAAAACAAAAAAGTAATTTAAAAGTTTTATTTTTTAAAATATTTTTGTAAAAAATTTTTTTGTCATTAAAAAAAAATTTTTTAAAACCCCAATGGGGGGAAAGGGGTTTTTTAATAAAAAAATGCCCTTTAAAAAAATAACCTAAAAAAATTTTTTTTTTTAAAAAATTTTTTTTTTTAAATTTAAAAACAATTTTTGAAAACCCAAAAATTTAATTTTGTATTTTTTTAAAAAAAAAATTTCTTTGAAGTTTACCAAAAAAGAAATCCAAAAGGTTGTTGGTTTTTAAGCATTTAAAACATTAAAGGAAAGAAAGAGGTAAATTACTCCCCTTCATTTTTAATAATTTAAAGGAAAAATCCTTATGTAATAAAATTTTTAATTAATTACATCAAAAGGGTATAATGACACCCATTTTCCGAAAGTTTTCAAATAATTGAAAAAAAACTATAAAAAAATTTTTTTCAAATTTTATAATTTTAAAATTTCCCTTGAAAAATTTTTTTATTCATTCTAAGTGAATTTAGATAAACATTTTTTTAAATTTAAAGGTTTTAAACAATTCTTGCACGAAAAAATATAATCTTTTTTTAAAATAAATTTTACAATGTACAACAGATCATGATCTTTTCACTTGCCAAACACCATTTTCAAAGTTTTTGTTTTTTTTTTTATTTTGATCTAAATCAACGTAATTTTTTTTTGTTGTAATTATTTTTTCAAAAAATTATGTTTTTTTAAAAATTTTAAATTTTAAATTACTCTCCTAATTTTTATAGTAAACCCAGAAATATCATAATTTTTGGATGTTGAAAGTGAAAATAAAAAATTAAACAACTATCTCATGTACAAAAAAATAAATTGAAAACCAAAACAAAAAATAAAAATTTTAAATTTTTTCCCAAGAAAAAATTTTATAAACTATCTAAATGACACATTTTAAGTTTTTTTATCAGTATTTTAATCATTTTTTGAAAATATTAAATGTTTAGGGTGCCTTTTAAGGCCCATTCACTTTTGTCAATTAAAAATTTTAACGATTATAAATATTGGGAAGAAGTCAAAACAAAAATTTGCCCCAAATGATACTGATTTTGAAAAATTTGTTGAAAATTTTAAAAAAATGCATCAAAAATTTAAACATATTTTAAATTTTTTATTGTTCATTATCATTATATGAAGCACAAATTTATAATTAAATTTTCAATTTTGAAAAAAAAAATATGAAAAACACTAACTAGTCAAAAAAGTTTAAAGCCACCATGATTAAATTTTAAACCCGCAAAACAAACAATATTAAAATTTAAAGGGTATAAAATAACAAAAAACTTACTTGTATTTTAGATAATTTTTAAATTTTTGGCCCAAAAAAGGCTGTATTTAAATTTCTTCGATGATAAGTTTAGTCATACAATTTCTGAACATCATTCCTGGCGAATATCTAATGATTTCTTGATATAAAAACCCCCTCTTAAAATTTTAAACCCCAATTTAAAAAACGGAAAAAAAGGCAACAAAAACCCCAACAAAAAAGGTAAATGGGCTGGGTGTTTTTTAAATTAAAAAAGCATGACTATAAAAAAGAAATATAAAAAGCATTGGGAAAACAATGTTATTAGGCAAATAAGAAAAAAAATTTAAAACTTTTTAAACAGCTAAACGGGGCAGCGAGGAGCGGCTGAGTTAAAATTTAAACGTTAATATTTTCCTTATTTTTTGTCAATTACTTATTTTTGACCTTTTCCACTATGGGGAGGGATAATTAAAGCTTTTTAAAAAAATTTACCCGGAGGATAATGACGGGGCCCTTTTAAAAAATGGTTTTTTTTAAAATTTAAAAAAAATAAAACAATTTTTTGTTTGCCTACTCATTTTCGTGAAAAGGAGGTGTTAAAATTACCTAGAAAATGGTTTGATTTACAAAATTTTCTTAGTTTACGTTTAAAATTTAAAAAGTGAGCGGGTTGACAGCTTTTTAAAAAAGTTTTTTTTTTCATTGATTTATTTTGTGAACTAATTTTTTAAATCCCAATAAACACCCATTTAAAAAAGATATAAAACTTTATTTTCCCTTTCGTCCAATGTCTAAATTTTTTTTTCAATATTTCGCAACACTGTCCCCAAAAGCGTTTATAGAACCATCTATTTAAAATGCGTTTTTCCCCGTGCATACGAAAGTAGGTCAAAAAATTCCACCCACGTCATTCTTTTAGCTGATTAATTAAAATCATTTATATTGGTAATTTTTACTATAACAAGCACTTTTAAAGTATTTTTTGCGGAATTGAAAACAGAATATTTTTAGGTGTTTTTAGAACAAAAAAAAACAACACCAAGCCCCCCCCAAAAAAACAAAAGTAAAATAAAAAAAATCAAAAAAAAACAAATACAAAAAAACCACCAAACCCCCCAACCCAAAAACAACAAAACCAACAACAACAAAAAAACACAAAACAACAAACAAACAAAAAAAAAAAAAAAAAAAAAAAAAAAAAAAACAAAAAAAAAAAAAAAAAAACCAAAAACAAAAAATAATTTTTTGAAAAAATTTAAAAAAGAATAAACTGAAAAATTGTGAAACGAAACCACTTATGGACCACACGTCAAACTTAAAGCAAATATCAAAAGGCTGTGTTAATTGTCGAGAAATTTACAAAAATTTTTCCCCCGACCCCCCGCCCAAATCACCAAAAATAACCCGGGTTTGCACCTGTGCAAAACCCGGCCAAAAATGTTTCGTGCCATCTTTCCTGATGGCCTTTAAAAAACCCTCAATCCTCTCCCCCCCATAAACACGATTGCGAAGTAAAAAACCCCAAAGAAGGGGACTAGACATCTTCAAAAACGACGTTAAATTTTTTGTGATATATTTGTCCTTCTTTTTCCCACTCTATTTTTATAGTTTTTTTATAGTTGGTTGTTTTGAAATTAATGAATATGAAAGGTTTCTTTTTTAATTCATTTTGTACGGCTTGGCTGTGATGTGTAGGCTCCAACAACTTTTATCCCCTTCGAAAGATGCATTTTAATTTTTATAGTTTGCCCATTGTTTTCTCGTTTGGGCACCCTATTTTAATTACTTGTGAAACCATACACCCCTTGACGAATGTTAAAAATTAATGTTCCCATAAGCCCTAATAACAAAAATCCCGTTCTTTTTTAAAACCCCTTTTTTAAAATATTTATTTTTTAAAAAATTTAAAAAATTTTAAAAAAGTTTGATTTTCCCTTTTAAAATTCAGCCCTGTAAAAAAAGTTAAAAAATAAAAAAATTTTTAAAAAAAAAAAAAAAAAAAAATAATTAAAAGTAAAAAAAGTTTTTTAGTTTTTTTATTTTAATCTTACAGCATAATTACCGAGACAACAAAAAAGGGAAAAATCAAAATTTTTTGCATTTTTTTAAATTCCCTTTTTTTTCAGGGTTTTTTCCGAGAGTTAAAAGGTCAAAAATTTGGTTTAAAAATTTTTTCCAAAGGGGAAAAAAAATCCAATTTAAAAAAAAAGTTTTCTTCGAGGAAAAAGGGGAAGCCCAAAAAAATTAACAAACCAATATTTTTAAAAAGTTTTTTTAAAAGTAAAAAATTCAAAAAAAGGGAAAAACAATTTTCCCTTTTTTGGGAAAAAAAAAGTATTTTTATTTTTTTTTAAAATACTTTTTGCCCTAACTTTTTGTTAAAAGGGTTGGGCCTTACAAATTTTCGAATTTTTTTTTTCAAAAAAAACATTACATTGGCCATTTTAAATTTCCCACACTTTTTTTTTTAAAATTAAATTATTTAAAAATTTAAAACAATGTTTGGGTTTTTTTTAGAGTACGGGGACAGGATAAAAGGAAAAAACAACAAAATAACCCCAAAAACCCCCTTTTTAAAAAAAAACAAAAAAAAATATAAAAAAAAAGATAATAAAAAAAATTTAAAAAAAAATTTTTTAAAAATAAATTTATAAAAAATAAAAAAATAAAAAAAAAAAAAAAAAAAAAAACAAATTTTTTAAAAAAAATAGAATTTTTGAAAATTTTTAACTTTTTTTAACAGTTCTGTTAGATAAACCGGAGCATTGCCCATAAAACAGTTATACATTGTACATAGTATTTTAAAATTGATCCTAGCTTTAATTGGTAACCAATGCAGTTCCAACAAAGAGTCTTTGGAACTATCATATTTTCCGCGTTGCAAAACAAGTTTAACGCACATATTCTGGATACGCTGTAATTTCTGTAACTCACTTTCTGAAATGCCAAACAATATAGCGTTGCAATAATCCAAATGTGAGATTACAAGCGACAGTACTAGGATTTTCGTGACGTCCTGAGTCAGATATTTGCGAATGCTCTTTATTCTCAAATAATTTAACATGGCAGTTCTACACTTGGTCTTAACATGTGTTGAGAATCTTAGGCCCACATCTGTTTCTTTTAACATTTCACTAATTCATATAAGTATCTAAAATTTTAATGTTTGATTTTGCTTTAGCGGATGCTAGCGTGGCACGGACGGTTTACTAATACCGTACCGACCATGAACAGACGGAAATAATACGAGTCTTCATCAGTGTCAGTTTTGGGCGTTTATCAAGTCGGATGGACAGCATATGTACGAGACACACAAGTACTGCACCAATCTCCTACGCAGTGATCTCCCCTTACAGGGTTACTGGCCGTAGCGTAACCGGTGCGCGGAGTTTGGTACTGCATATCCAGCGGGTACCGCATCGAATCGGGATAACAAAAGTGCTTGGCGAGGAGGAAGCAAAATTATTAACACCATATACAATGTATATGTAATAAATCAAAAAAAGAAAAAGCAAATTGTTCTTTCATGTAAGAAAATGTATCATTTTTGTACGTGACATTTGCTAGACTTTTTGTTAAGGGTGATCTTACAATTGCCGGATTGTTTCTATTTGCCAATAATTCCAACACTCTTTCACTTCAATACAAATATTATTTATTTCATCATGTTGATACAGAAGTACGCACAGCATAAGGAAATAAAACAACAACAAATAACCCAAACCCCCAACTCTCCCTAAAAAAACAAAATAATAATAAAACAAAATGATAATAATAAATGAATAAATAAATGCTAGAAAAATAAGTAAATAAGAAATACAACAACAAATAAACAAAAAGGTACAAAAGAAAAACAACAATAAAAAACAGCTCCAGATCTCCGAAATGTAACTTAATATGTATACTCAACATAACTAATTCCGCGTCATCACTTATCTCACGGTAATGGCATATTTTCATGTGACAAGTGTTAAAATTGGTCAGAACTGACATATTTTATTCAAACACCTTAACAACAAAGTTTTTGTGCAAAATAATTTAAATCTATAGATTTTTACGTAAAACTGAACAACATTTTACAAACTTCTGCAAAAAACAACAATAGTCCATTAAATTTGTGCATACGTTTGAAACAATCATCATTTTCTCAATGTTCTTGTTTGTTGAAAGAAAAATTTTGAGTTACAATGTAAAGATACTTTTAATATTTAAAATTATGTAAAATAACATGAAGAAATTTTAACTGAAACATGAAAAAAACTGAAATAAAACACCGTTACCGCGAGTTAAATGATGACATACTGTTTTCAAAATGGCCGACACACGGTCTACATCTGACAAATTAAAACTTATTTTGATTGAATATATTGTTGTTTCCTTGTGTCATATAGCAGAAAAATGACTAAATGATACAGTTTATGAAAGTTTTTGTAGTGTAAGTTTATTTTTTGTCTTCTTTACTGTTTTAAAGTGTTAAGTACCGTGAACTAAGAGGAGCACAGTATATATGTATAATAATGACACATTTACAATCTTTATATGAATTTTAAGTTCGAGTGGTTACTCAATCAATGTGAAAAACAATTTGTACAACAGAGAAATAAATGTAAGCAAGAATGATTATACACGTTGTTATTTTACTGCTTTCATTTGTTAACACACGATGTGTATTATTTTGAGGGCTTTTGTGACTCAAGATTCGCTAATTTCTAAAGAAGCCTTGTTGTTTGTCATTACAAAAATGAGCCTAACAAATAGTATTTACAGTAACATCAAAATAATATACAACCTCAATTAGCAATCATTTCATTAATGTCTCCATGGTTTGTCTTGTTTGTCTTGTTTATTTTTTATTATCGGAGGTAAGAATTCATCAGCTTTTTCTCGCTTTGGGTACTGCATTTGTGCTTGACAATGACTCACGGGGCAAATTTGACTGGCCGAAAAAGCAGCTTGCATTATGTGCTTTACCTGCGTTATTTCCTCCATGAATTGATTCCTCATTTCCTTTTGACCTAATTGTAAGCTAGCCATTTCTCCTGTCATTTTCTCAAAGCCCTTTTCCATGATGAAAGCTTCTGCTACCTTATTCTCTAAGAGTTGATCTTTTTCTTTTAGTGCCATTTCAAGACCTTCGATTGTCTCTCTAAGTTCCTTTATTTCAATTTCAGATTTTAACATGGTTTGTCTCTCCCTCTCATACTCCTCTGTGTCATTGTTTTCCTCTAAAGCTTTGATTTTTTCTCTCAATTTTCTTTCAGTTGTCTCAAGCGATTCTATTTCAAACTTTAACGCTTGTATTTCTTCCATATGGCTTTTTTCTTTTGCTTTCATTTCCTCATTTTTTGTTGAAAGATCATGTTTTATCAGTGTCATTTCTCTTTTAAGCTTCTTTTTTTCATCCTTTTCTTTTTTCCTTTCAGTTTTTAAGACTTCAAGTTCTTTTGTCTTTTTATTCAGGTCATTCTTTAAAGCTTGAATCTGATTAGATAAGCTTTTATTCATGACTCTGACTTGTTTCCAATCTGGTTTTTCATATATATATTCAAACTACTCGTACAGGTATCCAAACGTCTGTTATAAAGGGGAGGGGCACTAACAATCAAATATGAAGTGTCCTGAAATGTGGAAGAAAATCGCAATTCAAACACAAATTTACATTGTTTATGCTGTGGAAAATTGAAACCAAAACGTTTATGATCAACTATCAAAAGATACATATTTATGAAGACTAAGAAATAATATAAATTGCAAAACTGTACCCCAAGGAACACAATAAACGGAATTAATTTAGACGAGTGAAACTTACGTCCAATTCGCTTTTTGAATAAATTGACATCTTTGATATATATCCTCCCTCTCAATTTAAGTTGTGTACTGGAAAAGAAAAGAAATACAGAAAAATAAATAAATGCAAGTCACGATATCGAGGTACGCCCAAAACACAATCGCAACTACTCGGCCCTTTCCGTCAGTCTACGGATAAGGACCTCGAACACAAAAGTATGAGAAAACAGAACGGATACGGTATTTCGGTCTAACTTACGCTAAGAAACTAGACATGTAAAGAAATTGTAATTTAATGCTGGGAGTTGTTGATAAGTTTATTTCCAATATATTATGCAAATGCCATTGATTTGAAATGGGCGCATCATTTAAATTAAGAAACATCTACAGATGTGCTGATACAGTTTTGATTATGAAATCTAAAATGTTTGTCATTCCGTAAAAACAGTGTGTAGTACTACTGAAAATAAAGCAATGCCTTTGAACAATTGGAACAAAACAAAATGCAAAGTAAAATCATTATCAAAGGCTTCGCATAAATGTAAGTAAATTGTCTGTATTAAATTTCTTCTTATTTTAGAGCTGACATTTCTGCTAAGAAAACGACTTGAAAGAGGAAGATATATACAGGTGATAGAGAGCCACTTTCGCATGCTTTCACTAGATCGTAATAAAAACAACTAATTTTGCGTATGGAATGTAACTTTACGAAAGTGTTATTTTGTCCTGGATATGCACAGGTATTTCATTTTTTATACATATTTGGAGTAAATCTCATTTTCAGCCTCATTTGATAAGTTATTTTTTATTTGTATTTAATAAAAAACCAGTTTAAATTTAGTTAACTACAAAACTATGCATACTAGGGATAATAATCTGTAGATACATGTGGTATCACTGTTGGCAAATAAACTGCAGGTTTATTGACGGATTTATAAATCTAAAATGACAGTAGGAATTAATTAAGTCATGTTTAAAAAAATGAATAAAAATGTTTACGAAACTTATTGTTTCTACTTACATAAACAGCTCATTAAGACATAAGCTATCATTGTAATTGATTTTAAGATCACGCTGATTTTCCTCACATTAAACTTACTAGGTCTGCCAAATTTCGTAATACTATTGTGCTAATTTCAATACGTCAGCCAAAATATTTGTAATTCAGTATCAGGACAGGACAGGAGGTTTAAACTTTATCCATTTATTTTTTGATGATATACAAAAAACTAGTAGGCGAATGGAAAATTTACAGAGCCTACATAAGGACACTATTCCCAGTTTTAACTTAAATATTAACTAAAATATCGAGATCATTGAAAAATAGCTACACCTTTAAATGTTATCAATATATGTTAATATATGTACGCTATTTGGTATGATTTTTTTGAAATACGAAATTCGTTTGTTCAACAAGTGAAGACAGTTCAATATAGGAATTAACTTTTTAAATCCAAAGGGTATTTAGTGAATTGTTCTGGAGGTGAACAACACTAACTATCTTTTAAAATACATAACACGTGTAAAATTTATGTCTATTTTTTAATATTTGTATTTTTTTGTATTATAAAATACATGTTAGTTTGATAAGTGGCTAAAGATAACCTTAATCAATTAATTTGATCATTTGACAAATTAATAAAGTATTTTGAATTTTCGTTGAAGTTTACCAAACATGAAATCACGAGGATTGTTGTTTTAAGCATTTTAAGCATTACATAACAAAAAGGAGAGTCTAGATGTACTCCCCTCCAGTTTAAAGTGAGTTGGTCCATAAAGGAAGATCTCTAATGTGATAAATAATGACATTGTTTAAAGTAAAAAGGGTATAATCGACACATTTTCCGAAAGTATTTTTATTGATAAAACTATAGAAATGTATCATTTGGATAATCTAGTGAAATATTGCTTGACAAAATGTTGATTCAGGTCCTAGTGATTTAGTATAAATTTTTATGATTAGTGATAAAAACTTCTTTTTTTGCACTGAAACAACATATTATCTTCTATATAAATATATGTACAATGTACTATCAGATCATGTATCTCACATTTGCCAACAACATCTATGTACAAAGTTTTCGTGTTTTTTTTATTTGTGATGCTAAATCAACGTAATTATTTGTTGTAGTTCATACCTTTCAATTATACATGTTATATAGGCCAATTCCTTTCAAGTAGTTACTACTACCATATGTTATAGTAAACCGCGAGGAAATCATATATGGATGTTGGAAAGTGAAAGATACATAATCTGATACAACATATCTCTATATAGCAAATGAAAAATTGTTCCAAAACAATATAATATTATTCCTCATATAAATGTCCATTCAAGAAAATATTTTATAAGATAATCTAAATGACACATTTCTGATGTTCTTTTTATTAGTATTTTAATCACTATTTGAAATATTATGGAAAATGTGCCCATTGAAGGCCCATTCACTGAGTCATTTAAAGTTAACGATTATACAAATATTGCAAGAAGTCAAACAAAAATATGCCTCCTCCAAATGATACTGACTTTTGAAAATACTGTTGTACTTTAAAATAATGCATCTGAAATTTCAAACTTAATATTTATTTTTATTGTTCATTACCATTATATGAAGCACATTCATAATAATTATAAATTTTGAAATAAAAAAATATGAAAACACTAACTAGATACAGAAATAGTAAACGCCACTAGTTGAATAATTTTAAACCCGTGCAAAACAAAACAGATATTAAATTAAAATGATATAAGATAAAATATAACTTACTTGTATTTCAGATAAATCGTTCAAACCTTTGTCGGCAATTAATGGCTGTATATGATAAATTTTGTTATACAATTTTTGAACATCACTACTGGCAAATATATAATGATTTCTTGATTTTAAACCATGATTTCAACGGTTTTCCTGAGAAAAAAAATAGCAAGAAAAAAAACCCCACAAAAAGCGTGTAAATGACGTGTGTGTTTCAAATCTAAATATAGCAATGACTTCAAAATAAAACATTGTAATCGATGTAATAGTCGAATATAATAAACATAATTAAACGTGTTAAACAGCTAAAACGGGGACAGAGTAGCGAGCGACTGTAGCTAATTAAGACATTTAATATTTTCCTTATTTGGGTCTTACTTAGTTTCTGTCACATTTTCTATGCATGCGTAGCGTTTGTCCAGGTAGAGGGATTAATAAATGCTAAAAAAACTCTACTGAGGATAGACTGACGGAACTTTTTTTTCTTTTTTTTTTGATGCGTTTATTTAAGGTCGCCGCCGGAAAGCCCATATGGGCGACCGTACACTCAAGTCGGGTCATCCTAGAGCGTCCCGCCGAGATTTGTCGTCGATTTTTTTCTAGCTTTATTGGTGGAGGAAGACCCCAGGTGCCCCTCCGGGCATTATTTCAGGCACGTGCGGGCACCTGGGTAGAACCACCGACCTTCCGTAAGCCAGCTGGATGGCTTCCTCACATGAAAGATTTCGACCCGAGTGAGGATCGAACCTACAGTGGTGAGGGACCTGTGATCTCAAGTCAACGACTTTAACCACTCGGCCACGGAGTCCCCATGACGGAACTTCTATAACATGAGCATTTTTATTGGACGAAAAAAGTTGGACAAACATTTACAGATCCTGTATGTTGTAATTAAGGTTGTTACCATACTCGAGTGAATTTGTATATATAATTATGCTTCCAAAATAATTTTCAAAAATCGAAGAATATGTAAAGTTTGTACTGCAAAAAATTCTCCCCATTATATGTAATCATTAATAAATATGCTTTCATTTCTTTATGAAAAATTTGACTTAGACTTTATAGAAAATAAATTTTGAATTACCTCCCTTTATTAACATGAAATGAAAATTCGGTAATATACTTACAAATAATGCTTTTTGGAACTTATATTATTGATAAATCTTCATTTGATCATTATATGTATGATAAAAAGCCATAAAAAATTGAGTAACAGGATCTTTAACAATTTCCTTGTCATAACGTCATAAATCGTGATAAGGATTATTACCTAGAGAAGTGGTATTCGATTTACAAAGTTTACAAATAGTTAGACGATTGAAGATTTATAAAGCAGAGTTAAAACGTTTAGTTTTTTGTTATTACCATCTGATTCATTCGTTGACCTTCATTTTGTAAATCCTAATAAACACGACATTTAAATGGAACCATGTATATCTTTATTTCTATAGGTTATTTTGCATAAACTGTCCTCAAAAGCGTGATTGGACCAGTTATTTAAACGTCGCGTTTATTCTCGTATATTATACGATACGGTATGTAGATCAAAGTTCCACCCACGTCGCTTATTTTGAGCTGATTTAAATCATTTTATCATCGGGTAATTGTATGACTATAACAAACACTGTTTAAAGTATTTTATGCGGAATTGACAATCAAAAATATTTTCTAGGTCATTTCATTGGATGAAAAATAAACAACAGCTTTAAGCCCCACCGAAAAGACCCCCACCCCCCCAAATAAAAATAAATAAATAGATAAATAAATAAAAAAAATATATTAAAAAATACAAACAACAACAACAAGAACAACAACAACAAAAGCAACAGGAACAACAACAACAACAACAACAACAACAACAACAACAACAACAACAACAGAAAAAGAAACAAACAAATAAAAATAAAAATCAAAGACAACACACAGAAAAAACCCAAACCAAATCATAATGGTCTTTCGTAACAATAATTTCTCTTAATCTGCTTAAATAAAACAGAATAAAATTGAAAGAACTGTGTGTTTGTTCTGGTGCTTATTAAAATAGTAAAGACAGTTGGCAATTTTGTGGCAAATCCCTACAAGTCTTAAACAAACGTTTGTTTCTGGTCCTTAGATGTAGCTCTACCATCTTGCCAGATTTTTCTAAATTTAAAGAATATTAGATTCAATCAGAAACAATAAAAGTATTATAGACATTTTACAATACGATGTCCATAGAGACAAAAGTAGCATTTCCACATGTGCATTCTGCAGCAAATCTTCCATAAACATTATATTTGACAATTTACGTAAAAAATATGGCAATGACATTTTATATGAAGATAAAGATCTATAACGGTTCATTAACTTGAATAATGTATGAGCCATGCTTTCAGGGAAGCCATGAAATGTCTTCTTTATATGTTCCTTGTTAAGGTCAAGGAACTCAGGTATGGCGCACATCCAAAATAAATCACACATCCCTCAAAACAGTAGGTTATATTACTATTTAAAAGTAATATGCATTGTATACGTATCCCCATTCTTTCGGTAAATTGTTTGTTTTAATAATTTTATGTATCAGATTATACATCTATTTGCAATATTATACAAACGTAACATAAATGCTAGTTACAGTATAAAATAACCTACTTCTGTAAACTGCTAACCGTTCTTATTTTAGATATGTGATAAATCGAATACTATTTTCGTGTGTAATTCGTTACGGTATTTATTGAACAAGTTGAATAAAGCAGAGGCTTGCATAATACGATTTTATTCATCTCGTTAAGTAGAAGAGGCCCGCATTATATTATTTTATTCATCTCGTTCAGTAAAAGAGGCCAGAATAATATGATTTTATTCATCTCGTTCAGTAAAAGAGGCCAGCATAATATGATTTTATGCACCTCGTTCAGTAAAAGAGGCCAGCATAATATGATTTTATTCATCTCGTTCAGTAAAAGAGGCCAGCATAAAATGATTCTATTCAACTCGTTCAATATTTTTAGTATTGAACATACGCAAAATCATGAATCTCATTTAAACTAAATACCGTATAATGTGAAGTTGTTTATGTAAATGCATATGCTGTTCTTTATTCTATTGTAACTGTGAACATATTTTTTTTATCAAATTATGTCCCATTCTCCTCTGATAAACATCTAATCAAAAGAATACTCATATATAATGTCGCAAAATTTTCGTCGGCATTTACATTGACGTCAACATAGTATCCGTTTGTCCACGGAACTAAACGAAAAATTCAAAATAACATTTTGAATTTAAACCCCTGCTAGAATGACTTACCTTTTGTTTGTGACATAGAGCATATAGGTGACAGTGAAATAAGATACTACTGTTTCATTTACGCCACATAATAATAATATAAAGGTGTTAAAATCGTATAAAACAAAAGAGAGTATAATTTTATTGATAGTCGGTGATTAGAAAACCGATTACTTTGTGTGAAATATTTAAATGTTATGTTCGCTTACTAAACTTTCAATAAATCTATACAATCCAAGGAAAAACGATTTAAAAGGTTTATTTTTCTATATTTTTACTTCTAGAGGTAAGATATTTTTCTTTGACAATATTAATTTTGAATCAAGTACCAGGCATGTTTTATTGCGTGCCAATAAGCATGTTTCATATAGCAATATTATATTGAAAAAAGTATATAACTTTCATGGTTAAGCTTCTTTGGGTGATTTAGTATGGTCATAAGTTACAGACGGTGCACGATGCCATTGGAATGTTAAGTTGTAGAAAAAAATGACATCAGCTATATATTATCGATATAGATGTTTTTTTAACAAATATAAGGCTTTGTTTGTGTTCCTCTCAAAACTAAAAATAAAACATATAATATCTAGAAAGATCAAAGTCAAAGCATACAAAAATGAAATAATAACTTTAAGTTCATTTTACAAAAACTATACTTTTACCAACAAATAATATCATTTATTTATCATTTTTATGTAGTGTGAAATGAACAACAGACATATCTCAAAAACCTGTAACTATAAATGATTATCAATGATAATTCTCCTTAAAAGACCCAGTAAGCCACCGTGATTTTATATTTATTTTCATAAGCATTGTATGTAAACTTGTATGTCTGAAACGATACTCATTGGCCGTTTTTTGCATCTTGGTCATTAATGAAATTATGGAAACAAAAAGCCACTTTGTTTACGTTTTGATACTTTTATCACACACAATTTCATTTTTAACGAATCATTCTGTACGTGAAAAGCATCGTACGTCTAAATAATACTTAAAACAAGCTCGCATAATGTTCAGAGGTAAATCGTATTCCACTCTTTAAGTTTATTGTGACATAAAAATATCAAAAGTTAAGGGGACACAAATAAGTAAACACAATTTAATAATATTAAACGAGTTATACAGATTTTTAAAGTATAGAAATAGCAATTTTGCAATCATGGTTTGTAATGGTAAAACAGGACTTTACAGAGGAGACAATAGAAACATTATGCATCAGAAATATTTATTTTTTCTAATTCTATAGAAAGAGTAAACATGTGTTGCATTTAGTATTATAAACGAATAAAAAAATGATAGATGTGTCATAAAGGTAGCAAAACCTAAACAAAGTAGGATTTTGACGTCCATACAAAATACCAATTCACTGCAATTATAAAGAGCCAAAGATCTAGAGGGAAATATAGTTTATGTCGTATATGGAAAATAAATGAGTAATTTGTTTGGAAACTGAAACAAGATACAAAAATTGAAAAAGATTTTTGAGAAATAAAAAAGATAGCATTCGGGGTGTGTAATGGGCTTTTGAAATATATTTGTTTCTTAAGATATTCATTGTGTTTAAATACATGACTTCTTATCTGTTAATTATATTATTTTGTGATGAAAAAAAACAACAACAAAAACAAAACAAACAATTTAGTTAATCACTTTTTTAAAATTAGAATCACATGACATTTAAAATATTTTTTAGAGGAAATATATACATATATAACATGACATCATTGATTTCTGTTTTTAATTCCAGTTAAAGATCAATTGTGTTAGACTGACTACAAGGACTATAAAACCATCATGGCTACTGAAAGCTCAGTGGTATGTTCTTATAACTGTTTTATTGCCCGAAAAACACGTGTAATGAACAAAAAGTTTTGTAGTTATTTCAATTATTCAGTGCATTGTCGTTTTTATTTAACAAGCTCTTTGTACATAAAATAACAATAAAATAAGTGCATAATTGAATTTGTGCAATCTAATATTCTTACTCGTATATTAAGCTAGAAAATCTTCATAACTAAAGCAATGTAAAACATTGTTTTAAAGACTGACACAAGCAAGTATATATATTACTTGCCGCCTTTTAAATAGATACAAATATTCATTTACAATATTCATTAATCTTTTAAATTCACTTGCAAAAATATTCTTATCATGAAATAAGTTTTGAATATTAGCACAAACAGATAACACATTTCATTTCAGGGATCTGGCTATGTGATGGTTTCTGGTAACTTAAACAAAGAACTGAATATGATTCGAGAAACAACTACATTGTACACATCTAAACCGAATAAAAGATATCTTTATGAAATAAATCAAAATCTAAAGCACGATTTAACCACGATGAATGCAAAAATGAAGGATTTGATTCGAACGCACAAGAAAGAAACTCACAATTTGAAAAAGATGCATGACAAACGCGTGTCAGAAATGTTTCGAAAGGTTGAAAAGCAAGAAGAAGAGATGAGGAGATTAAAAGGAAATAAAGAAAAACTTGGAAAAGCTATAAAAGATATGGAGGATAAAATAGAACGTGAGAGAAAAGTTGGCAATGACAGAAAAGAGGAGTATGACAAACAATTGCTTAAACGGTCAGCCTATATGGAAGAAGAAATGAATAGACTAAGGAAACAAATTCTTTCACTAGAGAACACGGTAGCTGAAAAGGAAGAACAAATAAACAAAGCTAGAGAAATGAATGACAATTTGTCTGAAGAGTTTCGAAAAATTAGGAAAAGGCATAAAGCTGATATGGCAGCAATGAAAAATGATCTGCTTGATAGGATTGAAGATAGAGACAATCAAACAAGGATAATATTACGTAACGTTGAAAAACTGATAATACAACAAGGTCAGAATCATACAAGGGATGTTGGAAGAAGTCAAAAAATTGGACAAAGGAAGAATCTTTTCCCTCCTATTAACGGATCAACGACACAGAAGCGAAACTCGTTGATCAACATCAAACCTACATGAATTCATATATTAGTCAAAGTGTTGATTCTGATAATGAAAGTGTCGCGTATTTGTGCTTATATATCAAGACGTGGTCAGGAAAGAATATTAAAGATTTCTGTCTGTTTCCGCGCTTGTCTGAATTTTGATGAACATTTGCCGTACAATTTCAATGCACTCATCTACACTCTGAATTCGTCCTGGTGGACACCTTCCTGGACATTTCTGTCTACAACATTGATCTGGTCGATACATTTTATTGCTGAATATCACATCATATTCAATGGATCATTCGTCAATAATTGTTTTATTATATGATCAGCTTAAGATTTGAAAATAAATCACAGAAAATAAAGCCTTATAAGGAATACCAAAACAGAATCAGCATTTGACTGTTTTTCATTATTAAAGCGCGAGAAAAAGAAACACTTAAAATGATGACATCACACTTTCATTTGCTATCGGAACGTAAACAATGCATTTGTCTCTGTAGTGAAACCGATTATCATTAATGTGAGGTATGCTAGTTTTGAATCGAGAAATATGTAATAAAGAACAGAATACAACAATTAAGTTTTAGGGGTCTCGATGGAGGTTACATTTTTTCATTATCCCTCATGTACCTCATATACAGATTTAATCGAACCGAGTCTGCAATTTACTCGTTATTTTGTTGTGATTAAAGCTTCCGAGGGATCACCTTTTCTTCTGTTTTTTATGCACACGCGTAGTGAATAGCCTATGCTGTATGGTCATTGTATAAGAGTCTGCTTATATTTCTAGATTGAAAAAGCCCAATTCAGCCACTGAATATGATACTACACCTAATGTATATTATTTTATGATTTGTTCTGTTGACTACTGTTTTAACCAATGATACTGCAGCTATTTTTAGATTATATAATTTACGTATTTATATCAGGACATTTAAAGTACAATAAATGGCATAGAAACTAAATGATTGATGATCAAATGTGATATTCATACCTGCATTCCAAGATAATAACAGTATTGACTCTAAACCTGAAGATGTTTGTGTAATTAAAATTTATATACCTGTACCGAAAAATTCTATAAAATTACATTTTGTTTAAAATTATTTGTATCATATTGTTGGATATACCTCTATATTAAAAAAGTTATTATCAACAAAAAATCATGTTAACAATGACATGTATAATTATACATCTATATAGAAAGTATGGTTGAAATATGATTAGATTTTATGCCCTAGAAATGCTTTTAATTTCATTACTCTAAAGCTTTTTATTTTTTGGTATTCTATTATAGTTTTCAGAATTTCGCTCCTTCGAAAAGTACCTGAAATATTGTTTATTACTTTAGTAAAGTTATATTGATTTTGGTATTTTGTATGGAAGTCAAAATACTTCTTTGTTTATATTTTGCTAGATTTATGTAAAATAATTTCACATCTAGTGCTACTTTTTACAGGAATTTAGTATATTACATGTTCTAAAACCGTTATTCAAACATTGTTAAACTCATGTGTGCTCTTTGTTAAGATAAGGATAAGATTAAGATAATTTTCCGAGGGATAATGTGCTTTTAAAGTAACATTTTTTACATATTATTTATAACATTCCCAGGTCGCCACTGTGATGGCCACTCTCAATATAAAGAAGTTATACACACGTTCTAAGGTTCTGCTACCGATCATTTACTCCGGCGCGGCACACTTTAAATCTTACGGGTCTGTGATCATCAACTGTAGAGGAACGCTTGAAAGAAACAGAATGTAAAATGATTTCACAAGCATAACATGGCCGAGCTCGGACAAATCGATTCGCCAAGATAGGCAATATAATCTGATTATTAGAGAGAACTGTTTTTCCCGAGTTTAAGATGATGGGTCTGTGTTGTCAGAGTTCGACATTCTCACTGAGCCTTCAACATGGAAAGCATCTTTTAAAACTAAGTTATTTTGACGCAAGATAGTGATATTTAAATTTTACGAACTAGTCAACTGTTTAAAGTCTTTAGAGTACAGGTCGAAATGATTTTTTTAGAAATACTGTCTTTAGAATGACAATATGTTTCTTTAAGTTATACATGTAGCTTTATACCTTTTATAATATTTTCCTAAACTTCCAATTAACAAGTCATATGGTGCGTAAAAATAAATCGACAAGTACCCATTAATTGATAATATTAACTTATATAATATCTACCCTATTTATTTTACCTGTGGTTTATAACCTACAGTTTTACATTACCACTATATCATGCATATAGACCCGATGTATAATTTAAGAAAAATAAGCTGAGTAATAAATAAATTTATAGGCAGCCTCCCGAAGGCAGACATAGAACACATGTGTACCTTTCAACATTGTATTCTTAAACGTTTTCTTATCTGATATCAGACAATATGTAATCAAATACTTTTACCCCACGCACATAGCTACTCTTACTGATCAAGGGAAGTAACTGTTACTTTCCCCTGATCAGTACAGTAAGTGAGTACTGTAAGGGGGCAGGGGACCTAAAAATGAAAAATTTTGTATTTCAGTGTGACCAGAAACACAATTCCAAATATTTCAAAATCTGTTTCACAGGCAGATAACCAGTTGCACAGCATTATTCAATGATATATGACATACATTGAAGAAAATAATAGTTTGCATGCATTGCTCCTTCAAAAAATGACTGACAGCAATTTATATTTACCCCCACCCAGCCAAAATCACACCTAAAATATACCAATATAGGCAATCTTCATGAAGGTGCAGCATACTCCAGAATCCGCCCGATTCCATTAAAAATATCAGTAACACGCAGTGCACGCTATGGCATTTTCAGAAATGACAAATAAAGTGTCTGTCATACGTTTAGATTTTTCACAAAATTTATCTGAAATTTCTTACTTGTTTGGCGCCAACTGTCAAAGCCTGATTTTTAACTTTTTCACCTCCATTCGGAGAGTCAGAAATACATACAAAGCCACCAAAATGCTTAGTTTCGGGTAAAAACCCAAAAATATATCTCATTTCCTACCCACAAACAAGAAAGAATTACAATGACAGAGAAATATCAGAAGTTATCAGTACCTTCAAAACACCATGTCTGAGTTATTAAAAAATTTCACCGGGGCCATCATTCGAATATGTCCCCTGCCCCCTAATACTTACGCACGGCCCATATTTATGAGATAATGCAATATAACACAGTTATAGAAGATCTTTAAATCTATATGCATTCTAATAAAAATAGATAGTTTCACCTTGTCTGATATCTTAAATCATTTATAAGATTTATAATGGGCGACTCTATGTGATAGCCGAAACAACATTGACAAATGAGGGTTATTCTGCATGTAATATGATATTATAATTCACAACATATTAAGAAGCATACAGTAGCAAATTATCGATGAATTTGCAATTTCTTTAAGCTCCTAGTCCACTTAAATAAAAAACCAAATGTTCGTCACTGAAAATCGAAAAGGATTTTGGAATATAACTTCCAAATAACGGACAGGAGTCAATTTCCAACGTTGAAAAATTGATAAAATAATCTGTTGAAAAATGACATCTGTTGAAAAAATGATCCATTGGATAATTTTTTAACGGTGTCAAAATTTAATTTTACACAAATTTCGATATTTTTTGTTATTTATAAAGCATTCATGGTGTTTTCCTATTACTATTAACAAAAATGACTACTTTTAGTGAAATTATAGAAATTGTGCGCTTGGGTAAAACGGATTTAGTTATAGTATTTTTTGTAAAAGCAAGCTGAAGGCAAATTACGCATCAAAATATTTTGGCAATACTATGTTTCACTTTATATGGAAAATTGATTATTGTCACAACTTAATTTTACTTGTAAAATGTAGTACAACTGCATATTTGTAATGTTTTTTAACTTCCTATTAAAATTTGTAGACACCTTTCCTGATCAATATTTTTTACAATTTCCTTTCTATTCATGTACACACTGTTTTGAGATATATCCGTTCGTACAGGAATATTAATATTAAAGGTCTTAAAATTTTTACTTAAAATTTCTTCTTTGCTAGAGATATCTTGAAATTCGTCAGCATATAACAGTGTTATATGGTACTAAAAAAGATTTATCTTTACCTATATCATGTATATGACAATAAAAAAGACAAGTCTAAAGTATTAAATCAGTTATTTAATCTCAGCACAAATTTACACATTGATTTAATTTGAATCATATGAGAGTGTAATATTAACGTTGATAAAATGCTTTTAATATACATTGATCACTTTGTTCAAAATGAATGTTCATTCTTTGTTCCCAAGCGCTGCAAAAATTTGGTTATCTGTTTAATACAAAAAGGATTCATCGTAGTACTTAGGGCCTATTTTTTAAGAAGACGAATCGAATGTAGCGATCATATTAAGCTGTTGGTCGATTTTTGAATCGATGACCTTAATCTACAACCGTTACGTATATCTAATATTATATCTTTTTTGGTAGAGATACTCGGTCACTATCAGTTAAGTCAACAAACATAAAGGTAAGATTTTTCTTCTAGAAAACAGCTACACAAAATTAAACTACGATAGTTAATTCTGAAAGTTTGCTATTCGAAGTCGTGCTTTCGGACATTGTACTACAAAAGTTCTGAAGAATATTTATCTTTTAAAATTTACAGATTATTATGATGATGCATGTCTTTTTAAATAGAAAAAATATCTAGCATTTTTGAAAATTTAGTTTTGAAATTAGTGGCTGTATGTACAAATTGAATACTTTGTGATTTGAGATATTATTGGTAATATTAAATTAATATATTTCAAACAACCTATGTTGTCTATTATGATTATTTTTTGTATTAAAAACATTTTATTGCGCTTTTTGTATACATATATTACTTAGAAATAAATATAAATTCTGAGTCCATAGTGGTATATAATTTGAGTTCAAATGCGTAGGATTATAATCACGAAGATAGGCTTGAGTGATAAATAACAACGCATTTGAAAGAAAACCGTGTATTTTTATACTATAATACACGAATAATACATATCTATTTCCATTCTAACACGTCAAGAAACATATAGTTTGACTATATGTTTGGTGATTAAATTTGTTTTAGAAACAGAGTTTCCAATAGAAACATTCATTAAAGGCTGTTCAAGTCGGTAAATAAAAAAAAACTGTTGTTAAGTCTATTAAGTGCATAAATATTTTGAGAATAATTTATTTTGAAAAGGTTGATAATATTTTAGTGTGTTTATTCTATTTCACTTATAATTTCCAAGCGAAATACAGGGTATCTATCTATTATAATAGTAAAATAAATGTGAAATTTAACTGGTTTGCGACATTGTTTTGACCGTTTTTGCATGCGCTGTTTCGCTCTACATGGTCATGATTTTTTAAATTTTAATTTCTCCTCCCTAATGTGTAGTTGTGTAATATCATGGCGTATTACGATTGGTTTATTCTATAACGGTACACAGGCTAATATGAAGAAGGCAAAGACTCAAAGGGAAATTATAGTAAATTATAATTTAAACTCCCATCAGCGGCTTCACATTTTATGTTTTCAATACACTTAGAACTGCAAACTTTCGGCCGCACAATTCACCCAACACACCCACACACTATATACGGCCATTTCATGTTTTAAATGATATCTAAATTGAATCAGCCTGTCGAAACAATAATTGGACAGTGAACCAGATTATTGTTCTGGTAATAATTATGAAATAAAGCAAAACCTTTCAACGAGGAAGTTCATTAAATAATCGTTCATTTTTTTTTACATTTTGCGTTTTAAAAGTGCCATTCGGTGTTTTATGCACTGCTCCCGTTTATTCTGGTTCCCTGTCCTATTATGGTTCCTATAGAAGTGCGCAGGAAACCAGTCTAAGCATCCGTT